CAATCATAAGGAACACATGTCACACAGATCTTGTCTTCTAGTTATAAATTTCCAGTAAAATGTGAAAGAATGGCTGATTCCACAGCTGGGGCAAGTACAAAATGAATTTAGAAAATCCTATTGTGCTGAAGGTAAGATAGTGCCTTAACAATGATGCAAACACGTTAAAAGAACACAGAAACCCAACCGGAAGAGGCTCCCACAGGCCAAATTTGAGACAATTTGAGATTCAAAAACATTATAATCCCCTGAGTAGAAAATCATGAGTGCGTTCTGTAATAAATTAAAATTCTGATTTTAGGAGTGGTATCTATACATGGTTTTAGAGTACCTCCCCACAAAATACTTAGGAAGGAAAAAGTAATTGCCTTACAGTAAAAGCAGCCCAATACCTTAAAAAGGGATCAAAATGAACACTATCAGAAATGGGGCAGATTAAACTGCAATGCAATGCAACATTGTTTAGATTCCAACAGAACGCAACCAGGGCCAAGGATATAGCTTAGTGGCATAAGTGCCTGCCTGGCAACCACAATGTCCTGAGTTTGATTCCCAGTACCAAAAAAGAAAACAAAGAATGCAATGAGAACAAAAATAGCATCTGCACTTTCTGCCAAGGAGCACAACTGGAACCTAGTCATGAAGAAACAAATTCAAATGTAAGGACAAAATTACCGGCCTATAATCTACACAATCCTTTGGGACTAGGTGCCAATGGTCCCAAAGGATCAAAACACACTAAGGAACTGTTTCAGAATGAAAGATGCAACTACGAAACACACAATGTTAGACTATAACCTATTAATTCAGTACTGGGGACAGCATGTAAGGCCTGAGTAAGTCTAGCAATCTAACTTTCTAAACTCAATGATTGTGCTGTAGTTATACAGAAGACTTTCTTTTTTGGAAATACAAAAGTATGGCCATATCATGGCAGCAACTTACTGAAAAAAATTTATCTGAAAGGTACTTATAATCCTTCTCTAAGTATTGAGACTGTTTTACATTTTTCTTTAAAAAGAATGCACAATTAAGTTCTTAAAGGGTTGATAAAGGAGTTTAATATGATATGTAACCCTAAAAATAAAATCTTAAATACAGTGAACTTTGTCCAATCATATCCACTGTCTAAGTACATGCTTTGGTTTTCCATCCTTAATTCTCCCAGAATTTTTTTTATGCATAACTTACAGATTCAATCTCTCTCTTGACAGTGACATATTCATAGGTATTGGTCAGTAGAGAAAAGTCACAGGAATTCTATTTTTGAAATCAAACAAGAATGAAGACATTACCATAAAAATAACTTCTCCCCCTTGTGGTAAAGATTAAGAATACAATTTACTGAAGAATCTTAACAGGCACTTAATATTATTTATTACAAAGTACGTTGATATAATTTCATATTAATCCCCTACATTAGCCTTAAATAATACACAGTATTTGCAGACAATATACGTAGAGGTAGTTTCATAGTTTTCTTTTAGGTCAACACTGTCCAGATTCCATTTGGTGTTTGGTTAGCAAAAAGTTGCAGCTTTGATAAAACTGCCACAACAAAAGGCCAAAGGAGCCAAGGTGACTAACAGTATAAATTCAGGTAAACAGAGGTGGCCTCACTCAGAGGTATCTGCCTATTTAGGATTACAGGGACAAATGAAAAGGTTCCCACCTTTCAGAGTGTAATCTCAAACACCTGAAGGTCCATCACTGGAAATTAATTCCTTTGAATTGTATTTATTCAATCTTCACTGAGTTTACTAACATAGAAAAGACATTTTCTTCATTTAAAATTGCCAGTGGTGAAAACAAAGGAAGACATTCATCCTAGCATAAATGAAACCTAATTTTCTCATTCCACTTTCTTATGACCATTCTTAATCTTCCATATTTCTTCCTATTAAGTCACTGGACACTGATAATTCTATGTTTTATTGACCTTCCAATGATTATAAAGTAATTTAAGTGATTTTTGAAAATAAACTTAATTCATTTCAGACTTTTAAATTAAAAGTGGCTCAGTTGGATCTGTCTCTTAAACAGAGTAATATAAATATTAGTATCTTGGCTAAAATGGATTATTGATAATTTTAATACATGTTGCACAGTACATATTAATATAGAAAAATACATGTTATCACTAGCATAATGTTGACCATGTTCTAATCCATTCCACCTGCTCAAATATTAGTATAAATAATTATATATTTGTAATGCATCACTGCTGTCTAGCATAAATCTGTGCTTTCTGAATAAATGACTTTCCTCAGAGGTTGTTTGCTATTTGGAGTATGACATACTCCTATTTAAATTGGCTTTGTATGGGTGAGGCAGAATGCAACCTTCTAAACCACTTAGAAAATGAACAAAAGTGTTCAATTACTCTCTTTCCCCAGCCCTCAACAGATATACAGATATTCAGTCTTAAGCACTTAAGTTTACTGGTACCTATTAAATAACACTGATAATATATATATGGCCTAAGTTTACAAATAGAAATTTTGTTAAGGCCAGGGTTATCAGCCTAGCTGCTCCAAATCATAAGAGTAAAATTATTATTTGCTGTGTCAGTTTCCTCTGAAATACATTACAGGTATTTCCCCATGAATCTTCAAAGAGAAATGACTGATTAGTGGTAGGAAACAAAGGTAATAGGGTAATTTTTGACGTGTAATTTTGATTATAGTATTTTGATATAGTATAGAGTATAGTATATTACTACCTTTTGTCCTACCTTTTTTTTTTCTTTTTGGTACCGGGGTTTGAACTCATGACCTCACGTTTACCAAGCAGGCACTTAAGCTGCTGAGCTAAATCCCTGATCCATTGTCCTACATTTTTAATGTATTAGCCACTTAGTAATACCAATCCACTGAACAGTTAACAAAATTAGCAAACTTATGATACTTAAAGTAGTCTGTTTTTGAAGGTGGAAACACTGCTTTCTGATACTTCTGCAACAGAACTGCCATTTTGTTCCATGTTACAAAATATGGTACAAAATACCTGGACTCAAATGTGAAAACTGCTCAAAGTATCATAACTATATAAAACTTACTAAGGAGAACTTTGTGATGGACATGTATTTCTATTAGATACAAACTTAAATCATAATTTCCTGATCTTACACAATTTTAAAACTATTGTCAAAAAAGAATGACCACACATTAAACATATAAAACAAAGAACCTATTTAAGGCTGCATAAAGAAATATACGGACTATAAGAATGAATGAGACTTAAGATTTTAGATCTGAGCTTTCCACTAGCAGTATACCTTGATGGATCTACTTTCCTTTTGTACTATGGGTTGTTCACCTATCAAATGGAAATAATGGCCCAAATCCTAGGGCTGTGTTGGAATCAAATAATATATGTAAAGGACTTAGCATATAGTACATGGGATTTAAGTCAAACAAATATAGCTGTAATTATCTTTATTAGGCACTGCATTTTTTAAACTGCTCTGTTTACTTCACGTACAATTACTTAACAACATGGTTAGTTCTTTTCTTCCAAAGTGCATACTATATCACAGGGTAAGCCTACTCAAATAGAGACAAGTAGTACAGAAACTGAACATAGTAAAATAATCTGATGAAAGCACAGACTGCCTTGCATGTAAAATTCATCAGAAAGCAGGAAAATTCAGTATAGTTCTGGAAAAATTCCTATTTCTAAGAAATCAATAAAGTATATGTGGCAGAATATTTTGCATTAAAACATGTTAATTTCACAGGTATGAGCCTTTTTAGTCACCAAAACATTATGCTGAGTGATGCCTGCTGTTCAAGAATGCCTTAGCCACTACCTTATCAGCATGAGCACTTAGAGGAGTTTGTAGCATTTCAGGAGCCAGTATCTCTTTACCTGGATACTTACAAATATTCACCACCACACATGAGGAAGAGTCATTTAAGGAAACAATAAATTCTCCACTTGGAGTCAACCTATTGCTAAGTTATTTCACTCTGAGCCACAAGGCTAGTATTTAGAAAGTGAAATATTTAGAAGTGAAAAGAAAGAAAACGGCCTAATATATAGTTTAACTTACTTTAAATTTATCTACTTTAGCACATCTTTGTTTAAAAAAGACAACAACAAAGGAAACCCTAAAGACTTACAACCACCATGATGGTCCTCCTCAAAATGAGATCAAAGATTGTCTTGGAATAGTCAGATAGTCAGATGATCATCCAGTGGTTATTTAACAATTCTTCGTAAGATTCTTCATTGATTCCGGTTGACTGTCCTTTGTAATAGCTTTGCTTACAGGCTAAACTTTCTTCTAAAACTAGTGTTCTGCATTTCACAAAATATACTGATGTTTTAGAAAAACAACCTGCTGTGTTTATAGAGCATATTTTCAATTTCAATAGATTAAAGACTGTGTATAGCACACAAGCAACTGTGGAATACTGCAAAAAAGTCTCTTGGATTGAAATGTTGGTAAAAGCTATTAAGCTCTATTATCTCTACTTAAAATTTCATTATTTCCATGTAAAAAAACATTCTATTTATTGATCAACTCTTTTGAGTTATAAACTTTGGACCATATTTTGTGATGGCAATATATGACGATATGGTCAGAATACAAACAATGCTAACATCTTTTTCTTCTTAAAGAAGACTTTTTAGGTTGAGTTTCTGTTCTTGGGTTACACAGTCAGTACACAGTAGAAAAAAAGAAGTGAGAAGACATACGCTATGAGAAATAAGAATACCTTGAACTTTTAAATAAAAAATTTATAAAATTCACTATGGATGTCCTTGAAATAGAATGAAATAAAAAAATGCACGGAATGTTTATTGAGCATTAATATTAACACTTCTAAATTATATATTAAGAGTTTTGTCACTGTCCCGTCAATGGACATGATGGAAAACACTGCACAGAATTCAAGCATGGAAGAAATAATTGACAAAATACCTAAGCAACAAGTATATGTTTTACATTTAAAAATTTAATCCAAACAAAGTAATTTGAAGCGCTTCTCTGATTTGGAAGTTTTAAGTGTCATCTCATGTTTTATTTGAAATTTTTGTTTTTGCTTTTTTACAAATTGACACTGTACAAAGAGTTCAAATGGCCAGTAAAACTACTGCCTTAAAATTGTTGGCTGTAAGTAACAGAGGTATAATTTGAGTTTATATAAGAGCTTTCTAAAATGGCAACAGTACAAGCATATGACTTTTTCTTGTATCCCAAACCTGTTCTACCTTTCCCTTGGCTAAGAAAAGAAATCTGGAAAGCCTTCTAAACCTGCCACAAAGTCCTAAAATGCTTTGAAAAAAGTTGGCATATTTCATTTCCCTTGCACACCCTGATAACACTGGGCTAAAGAGAAAATGAAAAAATTCAGCCTATGGTAATTGAAACAGTAGTTAGCTCTGAACCTGGAAGGTTTGGGTAAAACTGATAACCATTTAGAATCAGGTTCTGAGAAGAAAAGTAGTTTTCCCAAATTAGGCCTATATTTAAGAAAAAACTGCTAAGAATAAAGTGAACGTTAAAAAGCCTGTCTAGTTCCTAAAAGACTATGAACAACATAATGGAAGCTTAAACATTACATTTAATTTAGAATATATTCTTTTTTTGGTGGTGGTGAGGGTACCAAAAATCAAACTCAGTACCTCACATTTGCCAGGCAGGCACTTGCTGCTGAGTCCATAGAACATATTCTTGCAGAGCAAATTTATTAGGTTTATAAAGTAATGGCCTTTTGAAATTTTTATTTCACTTTTAAAATTTTGTAAGTAATTTATTGTCACCATATTAAGCCAATTCAATGACCATAGCCAAGTAGTAATAACTTTAGAAATGACTTGAAAAATGATAATGTACCGATCTGAAACTACAGATCTAAAAAGTAACCAGTCTTTGCAAAGTTTATGTCCAAACTTAGAATACACAATGTCATCTAGCATCTCCCAATTCCTCTTACAGTAGATTATCTGCAGGTTAAGTGATCACATCCTCTTCAAGTTTATCAGTAAGATAAAAATCTTACAGAACTGCATTATGCCTAAGTTTCTGCTTCCCATATGCGCCACTTGGACTATCCCTCACTTCTTTACTTTCCTTACAATATTAAAGTAGTGAATAAATATGGTCCTTTAGTTAAGGTCTTCTTTTACCTTAACTTATGTGAAACATAAAATAAGGTAGTTTTATTAATTTCTTACTAGAACTGGCTTAAAATCTACTTAGCAAATAAGAAACTGTAAACTTTAAATTTTACCCAGAAAGCAGATGTATTCTGATTCACTCCTAATGTCTGCATAAAACATCACTTTAGTTTAATTTATTACATTTTCTTGGAACTTATCTCGAAAAAAGTCTAATCAAAACTACGGAAATTATACTTGTTAATTTCTGAAAGATTCAACAAATTCTTGAGGAAAATCTACAGTAATTTGATTAACAATTATCAATAATGAAAAGATCATTAAAAACTGACGAATAATAAATGTGGTTTTTTTGTATTTTATCTAGTATTAATGCAAAATGGGATGATAAAATTTCCAGATGAAATATGCTGAAGTAGAACCAGAACACTGGTAAAATTTGCCTTCTGATACTAACATTTGCCAGAGTGAAAAACAGTGACATGTAGTTTTGCAGAATTTGAAATGTACAAATTCAAGAATGGGATTAAAATTCAATGTAGCAGGAAAAAAATGTAAATAGAGTTAGTGGCATCCAAATTTCAAATAAAACTCGAGGGTAAGTATGGCTGCTGTTTTCTTCAGTCATTTTCCATAAAACGTTGGCTGTGTCATAAGGAATCTCCTGTGCTTTCTATCTTCTGAGGCCTGCTGAAATGTAACACACTTCCGTTGCCAATTTAACCTCAGCTGAAGTGTCGAGCAAGGCGAGCAGATCTATAGTCAGCGCGAAGTTGTACAAAGGAGTGAAGTATGTTCTTGTCCAGATTAGCAAGTTGTTCTCCTGAGCAGACTTGCTTCAAATTATCTGGGGCAACTACAAGAAGGTTGCAAAGTGCATGCAGAGTATCAAAAAGATGTAATACCATTGGAATCTGAATGGAGAGAAGAAAAACAAAACTGAAACAAGATCAATTGCCCATTTTAGAATTACGCCTGCAAATTCCTCTTATGTACTGTTGATGAGATTATTAGTATGGATAGAGTTCAATATATTATAAGTTTTGAAAGCTGAAGAGTTAAAACACAGATTTCATTAGTTTCAGAACCTTTAATCTTTAAAAATATTCATGTGAATTTTCTCAAAACAATTATTTTAGTAGACTAAAACTAAAGTTTTTATTAATGTAGGCCTTTGATGAAAAATGATTTCAGAAAGACATACATGAAGAGAGAATAATATAACTGGTTATATAAAAGAAAGCACAAAGAAAAAAATGTGTTAATATTGAAAATATGAAAGGATCAGTTTTTCACACAGGATGTGTTAGAAACATCTCATTACAGAAACAAATTACAAACTTTTTAATAATCGTTACAAGTCAATACAGACTTTTAATGGTCTGACTTTGTTCCTGATTGTATCAGTAGGCTTGCTACTTGTATATACATACCTTGAAGTCTTTGGCACACTTCCTGTATTCAGCTACATCACAAATTGCTAACATGCCACCCATACAACTGTAGGAGTATTGCTGAAGATGCTCATAAATAAGTCGATGAAAACGGACTCCAAGTTCCATCAAAACTGTATCCACATTCTTCCCATCCATGGAATTTTTGATCTTCTCCACTTGTTTTCTCACATAAGCACAGACTTTTACACAGGCCTATAAAAGTTTTTCTACACTTATTATATGATATGTATAACAATTTAGCTAAGGACAAAATACATATAGTTTCTCATTAGTCTCTAAGTGTAAATGAAAAAATTTAGGACATAGCAAGATACACTGGTGAAAATGCTACAGTATTAACATAGCAGATATACTTATTAGCAAAATAAACAGTTTTACTTACATTAGTATACTGAATTAAAACATTGTTTTCATCTTCTGGCTTAAAATCTGTTTTCTTTTGTTCTGCAGCCAAGATATGCTTCATCTGTCCAATCATACAATTTAATGTCCTAAAGAATTGAGAATATATTTGATTCATTTGGTTTAGTCAGTATTTTATTTACATTTATACTAAATTAAATTAAAGTTTAAATTCATGTCATTAAAAAACTATTTTGCTATTTGTAAACTTCAAATTTTGGGAAATTATAGGTCTTGATATCAAGAAAGTTAAAAAGGCTTTATAAAAAAAATTATTTGCTCAATATTTGGAAATCTTAAAAACTTCAAAATTTGTTACTAATTTATTTCCTTTATAACTAAGGTTTTCCAAAGGCAAAACTAGACAGGAAGAATGTTTAGGAAGATAGGAAGTTAGTGGATTTAAGAATAGGTAAGGTTTGGAAAAATGAGTAAAAGGAACATGAATGTCAAGTCCAAGGACAATGAGGAGGATGATGTGTTACTAAAGATTCAGATGAGAAATGAAAACATAAATTTGTAATGTTACATCTATGAGTTGTGCATTTTCTCCAACAGCAAGCAGCGTCTTCAATTATGACTCTAAAATAGATCATAATAACCCAGAATTTACAGTGTCTAAGACAGTTACGGCTGAAGGCAATGGATTCTAGGGCAAATATAATGTTGTAATGCAAGAGCTGGACCAAGCGTCTGAGTGAAACAAATAATGAAGTAAAGTTAGGAAAAGAACAAAATATTGACATGATAAAGAGATTAAAGGACAGAGGTTCTGTTAAGGTCAGAAAATAGGCATGTGGAGAATTGAAAAGAGGTTGTAGACACAGAATAGGATATTCAGGTTCAAGGTTTTATTAACAAAGATAACAAAGTACAGTGGAGCCAAGAAGAGGCAGTTAATTGGAGATTATTAAGAAAATAAACAGCTTACTCATAGGCATGAAAAGAACCTGACATAAGGTTAAAAGTTTTCTTTCACCATTTTTATGATGAGACAGATGCCCAAATCCTCAATAAATGCAAGGCCCTGACATGAAAGACTGAGATGACAGCAACAAGAAAGAAAAGAATTTCAAAGGTAAAGATGTTCTGATCTAATGGACAGATACAACGGCAGCAGTTAAGTAAATGCTAAGTCTGTACTCAAAGTCACACTGAAGAGATCTCCACAGACCCCTGCATCTTTAACGTGATAACTAATGCCCAGACTTTGAGATTAAGGCTTATCTGGGAAAATGAAAAACTTAGCTAATTTATAGTAAGATATCTAGGAAAAATGTATTTCCCAAAAATAAAAGCACAGGACCACATAGTTTCACTGGTAAATACTATCAAACATTTGAAGAATGAATGCCAAATCTTCTTGAGTTCTTCCAAAAAAATAGGAAGAGAGGAAAACACTTTCAAATTCATTTTATGAATTTGACCATGACACTAAAGTAGAAACTACGAAAAAAGAGAATTACAGGCCAATATTCCTGATAAACTTAGATGTTAAAATAAACAACAAATTGAATTCAACAACATACTTTAAAAGGATCATGCAGTGTGATCAAGCAAACTGTCTGTGATACAAGGGTGCCTCAATATATGCAAGCTAGTAAGTATAAACTAAACAGAATGAAAGACAAACATAATTACTAGAAGATACACAAAAAGCATATGGCAAAATTCAACAACGCTTCATGATAAAAGTTAATTATATATGAAAAGAAATATGCCTCAACAGACTATATATGACAGGTTCACCATTAACAAGGGAAAATCTAAAAGTTTTTTCTCTACAATAAGAAACAAGACAACAGTGTCCACCTGTATCACTTCCACACAAAGCACTGAAAGTTCACCCAGAGCAATTAAGAAAAAGAAATAAAAATCTTATAAACTGGGAATAGATAATTAAAGTTGTACCTTCAGATGACATGCCCTTATACAAAGGGAATTTTAATAAAGATGCTAACAAAAACCTGTTAGAACTAATAAATGAATTCATTAAAGTTTCAAGACACAATATCAACATACAAAAATCAGTTCTAAACATTAACAACTATCCAAAACTGAAATTAAGAAAACAATCTCATGTACAATAGCATCAAAAAGAATAAAATATTTGAAAATTAACTTTTTCAAAGAGGAAAAGGCTCAGACATTAAAAATACAAAGCACTGCCAAAAAAATTTAAAGAAATAAATGGAAACATAAGCCATGCTTGTGAACTGGACTAATACTTTAAAATGTCCATCTATTCAAATGAGTTACAAATTTATTATATTCTCTATCACAATTCTGATGGCATTTTTCACAAAAAAGGAAAAAAATCCAAATATTCTTATGAAACCACAAAAGATCCTAAATGGTCAAAGCAGCATTGAACATTAACAAGTGGTACCACACTTCCTGGTTTCACTTGCATAGAGACATACAGGTCAAGAGAAGAGAACATGCAGCTCAGAAAAAAATAAACCCATTCATTTATAATCAACTGATTGTACAGTCATACAACAGAGAAAACACAGTCTTGTTAGGTTGTGCTGAGAAAATTGGTTGTCCACACAGATCTCATACCACACGTACAATATCAACTCAAAATGGATTAAAGATTTTTGCAGTCATAAAATTGTAAAAATATTAGAAGCAAACATAAGGAAAAACAGCTATTAGTTCTTTGGAAATGACCCACATAGTATGGGCAACAAAAGCAAAAATACACAAATAAGAGTGAAATGAAATAAAAAAATTATTGCTCCCTATAGAAAACAACCAACAGCATGGAAAAAGACAACCTATGGAATAGATAAAAGTATTTGCCAACTATACTTAAGGGATTAAGGAAAGGCAAAACTCAGTAGCAAAACCAACCCCACATAAATTTATAAAAAGAAAAGATACTCATTAAAAGAAAACAACACAGTTAGCCAACAGGTATATGAAAAGGTGCTTAATGTCATAAGTCAAGTTCATATAAATAAAAAACAATGAGATATCACTTTATACCTGACTAGATAACAGCCTAAAAGGATGATACATGTTGCCTATGACATGGAGAAAAGGAAACTCTTCTACACTATGATAGGAAAGTAAATTCATATAATTACTATTAAAAACAGCATACAAATTCCTCAAAAACTAAAAATAGAATTACCATTCAACCTAGCAAACCAAGTACTAAGTACATATCCAACAGAAATGAAATTAGTATCTTGAGAGGTATTTGATTTTCCAGGCCCACTGTAGCATTATTTAAAATAGCGAAGATGTGTAAGTAAGCTCAATGTCCAGTGAAAGATGAAAGGTTAAAGAAAATATGGTATATTTATACAATGGGGTCATTATCAATAGTTTAAAAAGAAGGGAATTCTGCCATCTGTGAGAACATGGATAAACCTGAAGTACATTAAGCTAAGCGGAATAAGCTAGATGCAGAAAGACAAATATTACAAAATCTCATTCATAGGTAAAAGGCAAAAAATAAAATCCACTGAAGCACATAGTACAATTGTGGTTGCCAACACATGGGACTGGTAGTAGAGAAAATAGGAAACAGATTCTGAAAGGGGACAATTTCAGTTACATAGGCTAAGTTCTAGAGATCTAATGGATTCTGTGGTGACATGGTAGTTATATTTATACTTTAAATTTGCCAAGAGTCTAGATCTCATGTTATTGCAAGAAAAGGATAACTATGGTGACAGAAGTTGCATTTTACAAAAACATTAAATCTGCTGGAAGACAGAATAGGTAAAACTCTTGAAGAGACATTGGTGTAGGCAAGGACTTTTAAACCCCAATCATACAGAACTATCACAAAGAATCAACAACTGATATCATCTTATTAAAAAGCTTTTGCACAGCAACAGAAACCAACAGAGTGAAATGACAATCCACAGCATGGGAAAAAAAATGTTTGCCAGCTGTTCCTCAGATGAAGGATTACTATAGAGAACATATAAAGAACTAAAAAACTTAAACCTCCAAAATGGAAAAATAAAATCCAAAAATGAGCATCTGAGAACATATAACTTCCCAGATGAAGAAATAAAACAGCAAATAAATACACACAAAAAAAATGTTCCAACATCACTGGTCATTTGAGAGATGCAAATTAAAATAGCACTGAGAGTTATATTCAAATATTTCAAGGAAAAAGACACCATGGTAACTACTATTACGTCGGGTTATTTGGTGGTAAAGCACTAGGTTGCTGAAACTGTCATGCTTTGACCTATATTGTTATGTTGTTATGTCCTCTTTTATCTCAATCTCTCCCTTATTCATTAAAAAATTATTGTTATTTTTTATGATTTTTTTAATTAGTGGGAAAAATTTAAAAAATTAGCAGGATATATTATAGTAACATTTTTTTATTTCCTATTAACTTGATTTGAAGTCCTGTAATACTCCCACTATCTTGTTTCGACTGATTAGACTCTGTTCCGTTCTGTGTGATAGTAATTGAGGGTGTAGGTAACTACTTTGAAGGCAGTAAGATTCACTATGATGCCCATTCTGGTTTGACTATTATCTTCTTTGGAAGTCCTGTAATGTTTACAAGGTTTAGGTTTTATTGGTCTTGTTCTCTACTGTTTTGTTCAACTATATAATACCTAATGAGATAGACAATTCTTTTTAAGGAAGCAAGAGGCATCATGGTAACCACTGTTGATAACCTTGTACTCTGTTTTTACATCATGTGCTATGTCTATCCTTGGTTTTGACTGACAGCTTTGTTTTGCCATATTTGACTTTATTCTCTCCCCCCCCAAAAAGTAGTAAGAACTAAGGAGTAATAAAACCCAAAATGTGTAAATTTTGTTGTAAAAAAGAGAGGGAAAAAAAGTGCTCTAAAGGATACAACTGCAAGTGTGTTTAGGGGTGTTAAATAGATGACCATATTAATGTTTTTGGTTGGATCATTGAACACAACTGTTTGCAGTCTCACTGTTTGAGTGTCCACTTTGTATGCTTTGATACTGTGACTTGAGCAACTATCTCTAAGATGATAATGTGTAATCTATTAACTAGTGATTTCTGTTTTTTTTTTTTTGTAGTTCTGTATTACTTGTACCCTTACACCGCTTTGTTTTGTTTTGTTTTTTCTCTTAAATAAAATTAAAAAAAAAAACAGCACTGAGATTCCATCTCACCCCAGAAAGAATGGCTATTATGAAGAAATCAATCAGTAACAAATGATGGAGGGGCTGTGGAGAAAAAGGAATCCTCTACCGTTCATGGGAGTGTAGACTGGTGCAACAATTGTGGCAATCAGTGCAGAGATTCCTCAAAAATCTAGGATTGGAGGTTTCAACTGACCCAGCTATTTGGGTCAAATCTCTTATGGGTTATCTTCCCTTAAAAATTAAAAACATCGTACCACAGCTATACATGTGCACTCATATTTATAGCAGCACAAGTTCTAACAGCTATATTTTGGAAACAACCCAACTGCCCATCTACCAAGGAAAAGACAGAAAAAGTGGTCTTTTTATACTCAGTTATAAAGAAGGATGAAATGGAGACTTCTATAGGTAAGTAGATGCAACTCAAGAGCCTGCTCATAAATGTAATAAAACAGACATGCATATCTAAACATGGTATTGTCTCCCTAATTTGAGAAGCTGAAACAGTAAATAATATCCAAAATGTACAATAGACATTTTAAAATGGGAAGAAACTGCTCAAAAGGAAAAGAGAAACAGGGATGGGAGAAAGGAGAAAACAAGGAAGAAAAAAACAAAAAAAGTATATATACATAAAGAAAGGTTTGTGCTAATATTATTTGGACAATGAAGTACAGAATAATTTGAAGATAATATGCAATGCATTAACCATTGTTAATTACATTGTTTTATTATTTTCTTTAAAATAAAAAAAGAAATTGCATTTTACTGTAGTTATCACATTTTATTATGGTATGTTCACAAAGAACATATCAAAGCTTGTTATAGACCTTAAATATATACAAATTTGGTCCAATTATACCTCAGTGAAGCTGGAAAAAAAAGTGAGACTACGTTTTAGGATTCTTTTAAACCTATTCTTCAGTAAACTAGTATGAATAATGAATTCTATAAAACCTTTGTCTTCTACAGTTTCATCCTATTTTAATTTTTTTCCTTTTGTTATCACACATCATATGGCAGTTCTCATTCTTAGTGGGAAGATCAATTGACAGGTGAGTTACAAGTCATTTCTCATTATTATTAAAGTAAAATGGTTTACAGTTTCACAAATCAAATTCCAGGTTATCTTTTTAAACAGTTCTGTCACAAACTTGTATTCAAATATGCTGCCTTAAATAGAAAATAAAGAATTACATTAAAGCCATTCTCAGACCAGGGGTAGCAGGAACAAAGGACACGTCAGGGAGCAAGCAAACCCAGTTTGGAAGCAGCACCACGCGAGCACCCCTGCTGGACTAGACCAGCCACACTTCAGCTTCTGCCCTTGAGCCAGCACCATTCTCGGACCAGCGGCAGAGAGAACAAAGGCACATCAGCAAGCAAGCACACCTAGTCTGGGAATCAGCACCATGCCCACACCGCTGCACGATAGGCACAACCAGACCTCAGCATCTTCTGGCTCACAGATGACAAACAATTAGTAGCATATCTCTATCCCACCCCTGCCATAGGCAACATCTCTAGCTATGGAGGTGAAATGCAATCGGATGCCTGTGGTGCTTTGGTGTTTCACTATCCTTACAGGTCTAGGGCCAGTGGTCTGATCACAGGTTCAGAGGATAGCAATATGCAGGTGGCATCTGGGGGCGGGGGATCTCCTTCTGAGGGTTGTAGCTACTGCTTATTCCCTATGGTCTTGTTTTGGAAGTCCTATATCATTTCCATTGTTTTGTTGGGTTGGGTTTTATTCTCTTTTGTTTTGTTTATGTCAAATCCGATGGCAGGAGCAACTATTTCAAAGATAACAAGATACATTAAGGTAGCAATTTTGGATTTCCTATAGGCTTGTTTTGAAGCCCTTTTACTGCATTCATTGTTTTATTTTTATTATTTCTATTCTATTCTTTTCTGTTTGATTTTTACTATGTCCTAAGTTATCTGCAGCTATTTTGAAAACATCAAAAGGTATTATGGTAACTACTGTTGATTTTGTAATGTTTTTTTTTAGGTCTGTATCTCTTACAAATTGGTTTGTTTTGGTTTTATTCTGTTTTATCCTCTCTAAAATAAAATTTTTAAAAAAATTTTTGAAAAGAAGATATACCAAACTTAGTAGCATGGACTTTAGAGTTCTAGTTCCTATTCTACTTTCATTAACTCTGATCTTGAACAAATTATTTTCATTTAGGTCTGTTCCTTTGTCTGTAAAATGGAAATACTCATTCCTACCTACTGCATGAAATGATTCAAGTAAAGGTCCTTGCGTTGTGCTAGCATATAGTAAATGCTTGATAACTGATAATATAAATAAATATACAGACCATCAAATCTATTTCTCTATGAACAAATAACTTTCCTCAATAAACATTAGTCTTTTGCACTCAACAGAAGTTACTTTTATAGAATTAATAAATTTATTTTAAATATTTGATAGTTTTCTCAAAATGGCAGAGGAGCGAGTAACAGCAACTCAGCTTTTCCAGGACAAAGCCTTTAGAGTCTGGAGCACAATAGCTGGGAGGGGAGTTAAAGTGAGTGGAGGTTAACCAGGAACCACAAGAGAACTGACAGAGGAAGAGAAAAACAGGATTGTGTGATAGAGAAGGAATAGATCACGCCGTGGAGAGACTTCACTACCACCAAGAGGCTACTTAAGAGCCAACAGGAAGGCTAAGTGAAACTAATGACTTGTTTGTTCACAGAGAACCAGAAGACAACCTCAGAACCAAGAGAATGATCTGCAGTTGGAATCAGCAGGGAGAGCATAGGACAGTACTGAACAACAGCCTTTCAGAGTCTATGGTTGGAGAGTGACCTCAATACATGTGCCTGCAGCTATGGTTCCAGGGCAGGAGCTGGTGGGGAACCATTGTTAGAAAGGGCTGTTTGAACCTGGGTCCCAGAGCAGGTCCCTCGCTGCTTCATACTGCCAAGTTCCCAGAGTAGATGAGGGCAAGAATCCCAGGAGCCTGCCAGCAGCTGGAGAGCAGAGTGGGGATATCCCACAGAGAGGCAGGGGCTGGTAAACACAGCGCAGCTCCTGGGCGAGAGAGCAGCTTCAGTGGGCAGTACACAGGCTGGGAAACTCAGACCGGTGCTGTGCTCTTACCAGTCTCTACATGCAGCATAGTTTCAGGGGCAGACTGCTACCTTAGACTTCCTGCATAAACAGACACATCCTGGCTGAAGCTCTGCTCCTTAACCAAGGCTGAGGAGAAGAGCCATGCATCTAGAACAACAGGAAACTTTCACTGTTTAATGACTAATTTTCATGTTTTACTTTTACTTTAAAAAATGCTTTCCTCTTTCTATACATGTTTCTCCACACTTCTATCCCATTATTTATCTTTTTTTCTTTTATGAGTGTGCCCTGCACTTCCTTTCCTCTTGCCTTTTTTCTCTGAATGTAGTATATAGATGGTAAGGGATTATCCCTTGTCTCTTTATTTCCCTCCTGCTTTTAGTCATATCTCCTTGCCTGACTTCTTTCCCCTGTCTTATGCATTCTCACTTTTTTCTTTCCTCTCCCCCTTTGCATTTGCCTCCCTTTTAACCTTTTCTCTAATATCTACATCAGTCATAGAATCTTTTCCCATCCTGATTTCCCACTACCAATTTTGTTCCAGTTTTCCCTGTTATCCCTTCTAAATATGTAGCACACCCTTACCAACACTAGGGTCCTTTGCCTCCCTCCTGTTTCTTCTTTCCCATATCACAGAGCAGAGGACTTAAGAAAGGGGGTGGGGAGGACTCTTTTTTTTTTTCTTTACTCTCTTCCCTTCCCTAGTCTGGCATTACCTGGACTACCCGCCATGCTTTCTTGTTTTTTTCTTTTCTCTCTTCCTTTCCCTACTCTGGCATACCTGGACCATCCCCCATGCTTTAGATAACTGAATTACTGTTCAATGCTGTTTTTCATCATTAGAGGGACATAGTCATTACATTTACTGCACATTAACTGTGGATCAAGACTTGGATTCTTACAATGCTTACGCAAAACTGTGTTTTGGGCTAGTGAGAGGCCCAAAGCAGAATCTCACGGTACGTTATTTCTCAACCAACCTAATAGACACCACCTTAATGGATTAGTCTGTTAATCTAACAGATTAGCTGATTTGATTGCTTAGGAATAATTCTAACTCAGAGGACAATTTATTGCCAGTGAATCTGTCTGCTAAAGCCACCATCACACTGGGGGAAGGAGATAATAGAGTTCTTAACCCCAAAACCTGTTTTCTGCAAGAATTTCTACAACCAAGTAAAGAGAAGTCTGAGTCTGAGTTAGTTTCAGTGTTGTGATACAGGCATCAGAGGAGTTATTGGTGTCAGAGGATTTAGACTTTCTTGCAAAGAAGCTACTGGGAATCACATATGCAGTGTCTCACTGGAAACAATGTATGTTCCCCACTAGACCTCTCATGAACTCTGATTTAGCTTTTCTCTCTCATTTCAGATCCCTACCTAGCTTCTTCACCTCAAACTCCTGAGACAATATTATTGACATATTTCTTTATTCTTTTCCAAACATATAAACTCCCCAAGTTTTTAAATTATACTTACCTCCCTCCTCACAGTCACTCCTATCTTCTCCAATATTATTCCTTGTCTTCCCCATTCTAAAGCTTCGGCTCTTCTATATTTACCAAGCATATTGTTTGTCTTCCCTGTCAGCAAGCTCTGACAACCACATAGCTTTCCTCAATCACTAATTAAACCTCCTTTCTCCCATATCTCACTCTTTCCCCCACAAATATCCTCTGAAAGCTCTCAGTACAAATCCTTCAACTCAACTCAAAGTACTCCAATACAATCAGAATCCACGTCACCCTTTTATTCTCATCTACCACTATTCCTTACTTCAAACCTCCCTACTCTGATTGTATTAGTGTTTACTTGATCTTTTAATTTCAACAGTTTTTGTTTTATTAAGATAGATGCTTCAGGGGCTGGAGATTTAACTCTGTAACATAAGCACCTGCTCAAGGTTTTAGATACTTTTCTCATTGCTGAGACAAAATACTTCACACCCAGAGTTAAAGGAGGAAAGGTTTATTTTATTTAGTTAATCGTTTGTAAAGGTTTTAGTACACAGTTGGCTGGCTCCAAGGTGGGGTGATATAGCAGAGGGGCATCACAGAGGAGAAACAGGTCTTGGTAGGCAGAAGGTATCAAAGCAGCAAAGAACCAGTAAGCAAAAGCAGCAACCCCCTTTCTGTCAATCATATCCTATACAGGCTACCCACCCTTATTGTGGATAGTACTGACAACGAAGATAGCACAGTTAATCTAAGCACCACACCACAAATTAATCTCAGCATCACATCCTTGAATCCAGCATCATACCCTTGATCCTAGCATCACATACCCTATGACTGCATGAGGCTTCAAAAAGCCTCCAAAAAGCTCCAAAGAGCCCCACCCATGACTGCATGAGGCTCTGGGGGGACATCTATATGCAAGGCATAACAATAGCCTATTCAACAAGTGGTACTGGGAAAACTGGTTATCAATATGTAGAAGATTTAAACATTAACACAGAAACAATAAACCTACTGGAAGATAAAACACTTGAAAATGTAGGTGTTGGCAAGAATTTTCTAAACAAATCCTTGCCTATTACCATCATTATGGAAATCAGTATGAAGATTTTTCAAACAACTGAAGTTAGAAATTACATATGACCCAACTATCCTTGTTTGGTACCTTCCCTAAAGAGCTTAAGACAGTATATTACAGGATACATGTATACTAGTGTTTATAGCAGCATAACTGGTATAGCTAAATCCTGGAACCATGTACATCCACCTACAGGTGATTATATTAAAAAAAAGTATATCTACATGTAATGGACTATTTCTCTGCTATAAAGATTTGACAGATTTGAGGCATTTGTAGGAAAATAGATGTACCTGAAAATACAATGTTGGGTGAAAGAAATCAGTCACACAAGCTAATATACCATATGTTATCTTTCATTTGAGTAAGGCAAAGTACAAACCGAGAATAATAAGGATATAGGGAAGGGTAAAAGAAAAGGAATCTCTTGCAATAGGGAACTGGCCCAAGGGGGAAAGCATAAGGGGTGAAGAGGAAAATAAGCAGAATAAGGATATGTCATGGACAGGAACCTAATAACCTCAATAAATGTAAACATTATAGGTCATAAATATGAGCTACAACAGTATCAACAAGAATGAAAAAATGGGATACAGGATTTGGAATGGGATAGAAGAATGGGATAGAGGAGGAGGAAAAAGGGAAAGGAAGGGAAGGGAAGATTTTTTAAAAAGCTATGTTGCTGTGTTTTACGTACATGTACGCACTCCATAAGAGAACTGTAAACTGCGTGAACTATAACATGTACAAATAAAATAATCTTAAAAGTTTTATATTTGGGGGCTGGGGATTTAGCTCAGCGGCATAAGTGCCTGCCTTGCAAGCAGGCAGTCGTGAGTTCGATCCCTGGTACCGATAAAAATGAGAAAGACAAAAAAGAAAAAGTTTTATATTTAATATGATTCTTTATGTTATATATCATTTTTTAAGTTCTTGGTAGTTTGTGAATATATCAAAAGAAGAATAAGTTTAAAAGTGCATCTAAACATGGTGCCTTTCAAAAATAAAAAATGATTAATAAAAGGAACATTTTCAAATGGGCAAAAACACTATGCAAAAAAATATATAGTTTCATTATATATAAAATGCTGTAACAAGGTGAAATTAAGACATTTCTAAAAACTATTTTTCAGGCTGCTAAGATAGTGTTTCCATAATTTAAAAAAAAGCAAAAGGAAAAACCCAGCAACTTGCCTATCAATGCCAGTGTCCAGTTTCATCTCCATTTGTTCAATGATTTCTTTCTTCTTCTGAAGGCATTCAGATAACTTAGGAGAAGAGCTATTTATATTAAAAGGGGAAAAATTACATTAGTAGCATAATTCTGAAAATTTTTTGCATCAACTACATTAAATATATTTATAAATATGTACCAACATCTAAGCAAACCTACATAAACTATGAATACTCTGCCTTGTAGGATAACATCTTTTTAAAAAGTAAATTTTATTTCAAAGTGTGATTCAGAAATCATGAGTGATCTTTAAGATAGTTTCTGGACTAGTCTCATCGTTTCAATGTTTGTAACAAAATGTCCCAAGTTTTGCATCGTATATGAGTAATCTTTCTGTAAGTAAATGTGCTACACCACCTTACTTCTTATATACGTTAAAAGCTAACAGAAATTGATATGAAGATATAAAACCAAATTCACAGGTTCCAAGAAGTCAGATAGGCTCCCATGAGCCCACCAGCATGCAAGCTAACAAACAACCCCCACCCCCACCATCCTAGTAAGCAACTGTAGGTTCAGAGGACAGGCTGAGTTGATAGCAACTAAGGTAAATAAAGCAATGAAACACTAAACAAAAAATGAATGAATAAAACCAAATCCATTACCCTCATCAAAACGTGTCTTAATCTCATGCCTCTTTCACACTAGATTTAAAGTTAGGATTATGACAGATTATCTTTCTAAATACTCCAAAATTAATATCACAGTAGGAAAAGAAAAAAGGAATGTAAGGATGAAGAAAAAAAAAATTAATGTCAAACTTCCTGTGCTATTTGATGTTTTCATAAACATGTACTATTCCTAAAATTTAACAAAAAATCCTCATATAATATCAATATGAAATATCTATCTGAATACCAGTATGACAATTTAACTAACCTTATTAGTGGCATGAGGTGATCATTAAACTGTTTGTCAAAAAGGTGAAAAATAGTATTGGCCTGTTGCACAACATCCAAAAAATAGAGATTTGCATTCCTAGAATCTGAAGAAGGAATTCCTAAAATTGAAAGGCATAAGTAAGTAAGAGTCATCCTTAGAGATCTTGGGCTACAGAAAAAGAATGTCATTTTATATACCCAATATGCATAAAAGCAACTTCTATTCCAATAAGTCAGCAATGAATTATATAGACAGGATAATTAAGTTTTTTAGTAATTTAATAGATTCACCTGAACTTATTTTCATGTCTAAATGTTTCACCAACTTCATGATTGGCATAAATAAACCAAAAACTTAAATAATAGATCATGTGTCCTATCTTCTCCTTCACATTCCCAATTGCCTAGTGTCCAATGATTGACATGTGCCATAAATATATTTCTACCATGTTTCTTATAACCACATCTGTTTATCTCTGGTAAGTTAAAATAATTTTCTTATTGGTCTTCCTGGCTAAGAGCCTATACACTGCTGTAATAGAAATGTGCCTTCATGTGTGCATTTCATTCATTCCAGGACTTCCTCAGAAATACTTAAAATGTCCTCACTATCTCAAAGGGAATTCCTGGTATTAATATGGTGATCAAGCCACTCCATATTTTGACACCCAAAAGTCTACTGACCTCTCTGGATTTCAGTTTCTTCCTTTACTTAAAGGATAATGGATGAACTTTCAGGTCCCTTTTAGTTGAAGAGATTGATGCCAAAATTAAGATATTAAAAGGACTGGGAATGTAGATCAGTAATAGAGAACTTGACTAACATGCATGAGGTTCTGTGTTCAAACTCAACACAAAGGTGGGGAATGGGAACACTAGGAAAAATATTTATAGGATAATACTTTTTCCAGTTATAAAAATGGGAAATAGCCAGGTGTGGTGGCACATGCCTGTAATCTCAGTACTTGGAAAGCTGACACTGGAGGACTGCTGCAAATTCAAGGCCAATCTGGGCTACATAGTGAGTTGAAGGTCAGCCTGGACTACACAGCAAGACCTAGTCTCAAAAAATAAACAAACAAAAAAAGAAAAATAAAGGTGTTAATCTCTACAAAAGATAAAACTGACTGGCAAGCAAATTAAAGGCTCCAACACAAATTTACCAGAGCAAAAAAGTAAATGCACATATAGATACTAATTAAGCCAATGTTGCTACATGTGGTTTGTTTTGTTTTCTCTTTGTGAGACAGGGTCTTGCTATGCAGTTCAGGCTGGACTTCAACTCACTTTGTGGCCCAGACAGGTCTCAAACTTGCAGCAATCCCCCTGCCTCAGCATCCTGAGTGCTCAGACTACAGGTGTGAGTCACCATACAAAGCTGCTTTATGTTAACCACTAAATCATTAAAACTTTTAAGGAATTACCATACACAGAAAAATGTATTTGCAAATGGCAGCAACAATATAAGCTGGTAGGGAAAAACCTTTTAGGGAAAATCTGCATTGAAATGAAAAAATTGTGTACAAAAATTTTGAAACAAACATGCTTTGATCTGGTAATCTCACTTCTGGGTGAAATTTTTGTATTTTATTTCGCTTCTGACATTTACCTAAAGAAAATAATTCAAAATAAGGAACATACTTAAATTCCACAATATTAGTAACAGCATAGTTATTATTACTAAAAACCTGAAAAGATGCAAGATATCTAATAATAGGTTGTTACCACATTTTATGTGCATGATAGAATTGTACGCAAACATTAGTAATAATGGCAGTGAGTACTACCTGACTGCATGGAAAATATTAACCTTTACATGCTACCAGAAAATTTCTTAAACCCTACTGAGTTAAGAATACTGTCATTAAAACCAATATTCTAGGTTTCTGTACTAACTAAATCACAAATCCTTCATATCAGATTAAAAATCATGTTTTTAAACTCATCATCTTCTTTAATCTTTGAGATATTACTAATACATATTACCATATTAAGTCATTTGCAAATGGCGAATGTTAAATATTTGATGTCAAGGGTTAGCAGTATTAAGTCAAAAATGTTTATCCGCATCAGGAGAGCAGCAATGTGAAAATAAAAAGAAAGAATAAACCAAAGTGAATGAACTATGGCTAATTTTGGCTCATCATGGAAAACTTTACAGAATGGTGTTTTATATAGCAAATAAAGATTAACTAAGCATCAATGTGCTTTTTTAGATGTTTCAGTATAGCAATGAATTAATACTATTCCTTCCATAAAAGCTTACCTAGTTTTACCTAGAATACTCTTTATTTTAACCATCTGGTTTACTCTATCTTCTCAATTCAGCTCTCTGGTTCCTATGTCTTCTCAGAGAGGTCTTAAAATTTTATTTCTGAATCTTCCACTTTATCTCCTGATTACTCCTCTCTGTCCCTTAGTCTTTTTTTTTTCTTCACTGCACTTCCTAATCATTTACCTATTATTTCCACAAAAATGCAAACTCCATGTGTTCAGAACAGACATGTATTAAAAGTATTAGATGAATGAACTCCACTAAGTGGATGCAGATATAAACAAGTGAATATGTTTCATTATGATGGGATATTAAAGTTAATTTAGTGAGTAACTGGGCTGAGAGAGGAATGCTACTTCAGCCAGGATAACCAACAAAGGCATCTGAGAAGGTGGCATCTTTGTTGAGATCAGAAGATTGTAATGCAGGCTGAGACCTCAAACAGAAGAAAAAGGGGTGTAGGGTAGAGAACACAAAGTACAGAAAATCTAAGTGAGGAAAAACAGTGAAGACCAGAGTGACTGGAGCAGGGTGGTGAAATGCAGTATGAAACACAACTGAATATGTTAAGATGCAGATCAAGTCAGGCTTCTCTAAAGAACTGATTTCTCTCTAAGAATAATAAGTCACTAAAGGTTCTCCAACAAGGAAATGATAATTAAACTGGGCACTACATGAAGTCAGTAACTTGGAAAGGAAAGAATGGACACAAGATGACAAGGTTTAATTGGAGTATTTAACCAGTTACCAGATCACAGTGTTTAAACTGGGGTGCACCAATCGAGACAGAGAAAAGCCCATCAACTTTAATTAATATGGAATTACACTAAAGGACTTCTTAATGGACTGCCTACACAGGCTGATGAAAAGGAAGACTTAATCCAACTCCTGAATTTGCAGCTGGAGCAACAGGTAAATGGCAAAGCCTTTTTAAAATATGGGAAAGGAACAAGTGTGGGAAAAATAAAGTTTCATTTTGGATATTTTAAATTTGACATGCTCACTGTATAGTTACTGAGGTCAACTGAGCACCTACATTAATGAAGGCAGAACTCAGAGAAGAGATCATTATAGTATTAATATAAGGAAGATCAAAAGATCAAGAGAAAAAGAAAAAAATACAGTAAAAATCTATTCCTTGTCAGACTTATATTCAAATGTTTTTTGTAAAACTTACTTTCCTAATACCCAACCAGAAAGGTTCTCATCTTCATTTCTGTTCCTGAGTTTATAACTTACAGCAAGCACTGTCATATATTCTGTGACACACTACACTGACATATGCAGTGCATTACCTTACTTCACTGATGTAAACAGTGTGAGTGAACCCTGTATATATAGTTTTCAGCAGTTGGCAAATCCTTGCATTGCAGAAGCTCAACACTCATTGCACTGAACTGAATTCAACCAAGATAATGATACATAAAACAATATTGTACATATAATTTAAACATGCAGGATCAAAGGAAACAAAGTTTAATACAAACATACTTACCAGCAAGTCCTGTTTCCAAAGCATAATCAATATGTTCAATACATAAAAATTCCACAAGAATGGTAAAAATTCTAAAGGCATTCCGTGGTAAATCAGAAGGATCTGACAGCTTTAAAACAAAACAAAACAAAACAAAAAATCAATCTTCCAGTCTACCTTTGAAAAAAGTTAACTTTTTGCAATCAATTTTATATCAGACATGGTATTACACACATGAAAATAACTCACATTCCACCTTTCCTGCTTCATATTGATCTGTAAATCTCCTGACATACAGTGATGTTCTTCAACATGGATTGCAATCCATCAGTAAAATTCAACTATAGTTTCAAGAAATATGCACACATCCCCCCACATACATGTATGCATTCATATGTACACACCGAGCTATTTTGTTCTGGGTCATGGTCAAAGTGCTTTGACTGCCACTGATTGCTATTTGAGTAAAATACAGAACAGAAGTATTTTTTACTATACAGTCACACAAAATAAATCAATACATGCACTATAAAATACCATGTGCTCAAATTGTTATTTTATCATTTCCTGGTTGAGCAAACTTTAAGATCTTATTTAACCTCATTAGCCTTCATTTTCTTTGTTTGTATGACAGGGACAATATTATCAGCATTTATTTTCTTGTGGTTAGAATAAAATATAAAAAATGTAAAGTTTTTTAAGAATATTTGACACACAGTAAGCTCATAATATTACACAATAAGTTCATAATATTCATTCTGATAGTACTACTCACAGATAAAACTAGTAAAAGAGTTGTTAGTAGTCACGCTGAGAAAATTAAATCCCTCATAAAAATAAGAAAATTACTCTTGCCTTCTTGTAACTGCTTTCTACATTATTTATCAATTGATTTTGCCTTGTCAAATCTATCTATGGTCACCATTCAATACAACTTCTCAGGGTAGTGCATCTTATAGGCTGGGCACCCCTTATCTGAAATGCTTGGGACAAGAAATATTTGAGGGTTTTTTTTTTTTAATATTTGTATATACACAATGAGATATCCAAGAGATTGGACAGAAGTCTAAACATAAAATTCATTTATGTTTTATATACACCTTATAGAACTAGCCTGAGGGTAACTTCATCAATATTTTTTAGTGTGTCCATCTGTGAAGTGTCAAATTTTCCACTGTGGGGCTGGGGATTTAGCTCAGTGGCATAAGCACCTGCCTTACAAGCAGGCGGTCATGAGTTCAATCCCCAGTATCGATAAAAAAAAAAAAAAATTTCCACTGTTCCATCACACTGGTGCTCAAAGCATTTCAGATTTTGAAGCATTTTGAATTTCAGATTTTCAAACTGCACATGCTCAAGCCTAATGTAACAGTGCAACCTGGATGTATAAACCTGGACGTTTGTGAAAGTTCCATTTAAATCTTGGCACTGTTAACTCTCTTTTTGGTCTTCTTAATAACTACCCAACTTTTACCACTCATCAGTCTTCTACTACAAAGCTCATCGTCTTCCTTTGCGCACTGATGTCCAACAGATACCCCTGACACATTCCTACAAGCTTAAATCACCGTTGGTAGGTACATGCATGACTATCCCATCAGTATTGGTGGTACAAACATATCTGATCATTCAATGGGAGACTCACAAATGTACCACCAGTGGTTTAAGGCATCCAGTAGCAAGACTTAAAAATCCATGAATAGTAGGCAGAAAACTGATAAAGATATAGATAACTTATGTAACATAGCCAAGTGGACCTTGTATTTATAGACCATAGTACTTCATCTAATATGACCCAACACAATATATGTTCTTCTTACGTGTACGTGAAACATTTTTAAAGATGAATTATATTCTAGCATAAAAGGTATCTCAATAAATTTAAAAAGTATCCTCATCATACGAAGTATGTTTTCTAACCACAGTGGAATCAAATCTGAAACTAGTAATTGAAAGGTACCTAAAAAATCCCAAATATTTGGTGACTAATCACCTTTGAGGCAAAAGAAATAAAAAAGAAACCGTTTTGAAGTGAGTTAAAACACAATGTACTAAAATCTTTAGGATGCAGCCACAGGAGTACCCAGGAGGAAATTTATGACTAGATGGCCATATTAGCAAAGGTCTGAAATTAATCATTCCACTTTAAAACACGAGCTAAAGAAAGGCAAATTTAACTCAACTAAGCAGAAGACAAGAAACAGTACAATAAAGAGTGAAATACAAAACAGAAAAGTATTACTGAAAAATTAATGAAACCAAAAGTTGGTTCTTGGAGAAAGTAATAAAACTAGTAAGCTTCTAGCCAGGTTGATCAGGAAAAAAATTACTGTTACCAGGAATGAAAGAAGTCATATTACTAGTTTCCACAAATACCAAAAAGAGTAAGGTATCATCAAAAACTTTATTCCAACAAATTGAACACTTAAGTAAACTATAAAAATCTTTAAAAAACAAAAATACCAGAGTTCACTTAAGGTGAACCTATGTTGAGTAACTAAACAGTTCTATATATCCTAAAAAAATTAAATTTATAGTTAAAAATCTTATAAAAGAAAGCTGCAAGTGCATATAACTTCACTAGTGAATTATACCAAACATTTAAGAGGTAAAGAGTATCAACCTTACATGACCTTTTCCAGAAAATTAAAAGGGGGAGGGGCAACATTACCCAGATTCCAAACAAGACAAAGACATTTAAAGAAGATAAAAATATAGGCCAATTATTTCTCATGAATGCAGATGAAAAATTCTTAATAAACACTTAACAAACCTAACCTTATAAGGTTAAACTTATATATATATATAAGTAGGCCAGTGGCCATGTGAAGACCTACTGGGATTTACTTATTAAAGGAGTATCAGGCTAACATTTGAAAATCAGTCAGTATGATTCACTCTTTTAAAAGAATAAAAAGAAAGCACTTGAGAAAATCTATACCCAATCCTTATAAAGACACTTTAAGACTTCCTCAGTCTTAAAAACAAGTGTTTATAAAAATCTATAGTTAACATTATTAGTAGTGAAAAATTAAATGCTTTATTTTTAGGATGAAGAATAACAAAGGGAGTTTGCTCTCTCTACTTCCATTCAACATCATATTAGATGTACTGCCAGGACAATGAGGTAAAAGAAGAAAATAAAAGGCATCTGTACTGCAAAGAAGGAAGTAAACTGTCTTTATGAGTAGGTAACATGATAGTCTATGCAGAAAATCAGGTAGATTGTACAAAAAAAGCTATTAGAATTAAAAAATAAGTTTAGTTAGGATGCAGGACATAAGATGAATATAAAAATCAATGGTATTTCCACAGATTAACTAATTTAAACAAAAAATATAAATTTAAAAATTAAAAGCACCAAGTCCTCCAAAATAAAGCTACACACCTCAATGCAATTCCAATAAAAAGTATCATTTATTTTAGAAACTTACAAACTGTTATGAGATGTTCAGTGTATGATACAAAATGATTTATATGGCAATGTTAGTACTTATACTACCTGATTCAAGTTAACCAACAATTACAACAAGCATAGCAGTAGCATAAAGACAAAGGAAACAGAATCGAGTCCAGAAATAGACCCACAAGTAAGTGATCAACTGATTTTGACAAAGGGTCAGAAGCAATTCAGTAAAAAAAAGAAGAAACTTTTCAGTAAATGAAGGCAAAATAATTCAATACCAAATTGTAAAACTACAAATTTCAACCTACATTTTGATATGTAAGTTAATTCAGAACAGATTACTATTTAAATGTAAAGATTAAAAGCCTCAAATTATAAAACTACTAAAAGAAAACTTAAGGAGGTGGTCTTTGTAACCTTTAGTTAACAAAACTTACACACAATATTAAAAACACCATCCACAACAGAAAAAAATATTAAATTGAATTTCATGAAAATTAAGAACTATCCTCTAAAAGAGTGTTATGAAATTAAACAGACAAGTCACAAAGTATGTATCACAACCTGACAAAGAAATTGTAACCAGAATACGAAACCCTCAAAAAATAAAAATTTGATTTAAAAATGCATGAAAGACAGTCACAAACACTTCACCAAAGAATATACACCAATGGCATACATGCATATGAAAAGATACACAAAGTCAACATCATTTCATTACAAAAATGCAAACCAAAACCATAAGAGTACCACACACCATCAGTTTGAAAGTTTCTTAAAAATACTCTATTACTCTCTCATATCACTACTATTTCTGAGATTTATTCATGTTGAAACATGTAACTCGGTTTTTTAAAATTGTTTTTTAGTACATGAACAATGCCAGTTTTTCAACTTCTTTTTCATTGAATTGGCTTTTGATTCTTGTCATGACAAAACAATGCTACTGCAAGAATCCGTGCACATATGAGCTTTTCTAAGAAGTTACCAAATTAGTCTTCAAAGTAACTGTATATATATTAACAGTACATGAAAATTCCTATTGCCTCACTTTGTTATCAATACTTGGTATGTATTGTCAGACCTAATTTATGCTAATTAAAATAAGACAATACTTCTAACTTTCGTTTCACTGTTAAAGGGATTGAATACCATAATGGTAAACTTTTGTAAATTGCTTATATGTAGTTTGTTTTCTATTCATTATATATATAATTTATATTGATTTATTGGTGCTCAATATATTTTATACATCAATAATAAATTAAGACTACATTCTCTTAATTCTATATTTAACAGCTATATCTATTTCTTCATGTGAAAAATAATAATGTCACAGGATTATGAAGATTAAATGAGTTAATAAATACACCTTAAAGTGCTTCAACTAGTTCCTGGGACGTGGTGTGAAATTCAGTACCATGCAGAACCCCATCGCCCTTCCCCTGAGGCCAGAGTGCATGAATGCAGGGCCAGACAGAAACCTACAAGCGTTACAAGACAGACTTGTGCTCAGCTCCACAACACTGCCAAGTGCAGCTTGGGTGCTGAGTTGAGCCCACAGGGACACAGATTCCTGTGCCCACGAGCCTCAGGTGAAACACAGCTTAGTACCAGCACTGGCAACCAAGACTGTTTACACTTTTTGTCTGCCAACCTCAAGCAAGGAAGCATAAAGAAAGACTTCATCTGCTAGAGGATACGACAGGAAAATGAGCACAAGATTTTGCTTTGGATCTCAGCAACTGGCCTGCCATGGTCAAATTCAACACCAGTAAAACCCAATGCCTCTGTTTCCAGGTCACTGCTCACAGATGGTACCTCTAAAACCCACCCCAGTACCAGACCAAAACTGTAACCCAATTTGAGAGAGAATGACATTTTAGCCTCCTTTACCAGCAGCTAGCTACAGCTATCTCAGACCACACCAGATAGCAGGATACCTCAATGCAATCTTTATCCTACCCCTGTGCTGTCCTGACCTTGAGGGGAAGTGGGTACAAAGCAGCTGAGATCGCTACGTGACTGCTTGCCTATACCATTTACACTCCCAACCCCAGGCAGTACAACATGGAGAGTTATAGCCACTCAAGAAAGAAGAAGAAAGACACAAGTCATTGCTTTGGAGACAAAGGGCAGACCCTACTTGGTAAGGCTCAGTGCTGGGTGCAGTCCTGTAGTGCCTAAAGACAAGCCAGTAACTATGGATAAGACATTTGGGCCCAACCTGGCCCAGATGAGGACCTATAGAAATAGCAAAAACAGACTACCTGTTTAAGGCACTCCCCAAGTTCATCTTAAAAACAATACACCAATCACTGATTTGTGATAAACTTCAGTTTGAGGCGCCCTCTACTGCTGAAATAGTGGCAATGACCACAGTTTCAGTGAAAATGAAGAGGCTAGATACTATATTCTGGAAGGATGGGCACAATCAAAGTAAACCAGATTATACACTACACTAAATATCCAATCCTTCACTGTACAAACAACATTGTTGCATCCCAACAAACATTAAGACTTTCAGGGTATCATGACTTCATCTCATGAACAAAATAAAGACACTCCAGACCATAAGAAAACAACTGTAACATGGGATCTCTTAGATAGAAAACTCAAAACAAAACATTTTAAAGAAATTCACTGAACTTCAAGAAAACATAAGAGAAACAATTTAAGTCATCATAGACACTTAAGAGAGGCTGAAATGATTTTAAAAATCTGAAATCCTGGAGCTGATAATACAAAGACAGAATGAACAGTGTGATACAAGGCAGTGACAGCAAAACTTTTAGAGACCTTTGTGCCCAAACTGCACCCCAAAACCCATTTATTTATTGCAAAGTACCAACACTGCAGTTCAATGTGAATGCTCAGGTGCTGGAGTGATGCCAGGGCATCACTTGTTCATATGCTGACAGAAAGGACTCTGCAGCCTACTGCAGAACACGTGCCAGACGTTCACCACTACTGACACAAGGCATCCTTGGCAAAAATCAAATCAAACAATCAGTGAGCTCAAAGACAGGTTATTTAAAAATACACAGAGAAAAAAGAAAAGTGAGAGACAAAAAGGAAGCTTACACAAATTATAGCACAGCATTAAAATCTTTTAAGCACAAATATTCAGTTACTAGAAGTTCAAGAGGGACTTGAATGCCAGAAGTAGAATGCTTTTTTTCTTTTTTCTTTCTTTTTTGTTTTTTTGGTACCAGGGATTGAACTCATGACCTTGCATTTGCCAGGCAAGCACTTATGCCACTAAGCTAAACCCCCAGCCCCTAGAATGCTTATTTAAAGAAATAACAGAAAAATGTTTCAGATAGCTGGAGACTTTAACACCCATTTTCTGTAATAAACAGATCATCCAGTCAGGAAATCAACAATGAAATAGCAGAGTTAAACTACACCCTGAATCAATGACCCTAATAGTCACCTACAGTTTAATCATGTTAGGCCACAAAATGTCTCAACAAATTTTTAAAAACTAAAACAACACTGATTGTCTTTTCTGATCACAATGTGACAAAACAAAATTATTAACAACAAAAAACCTTTGGAAACTGTACAAATATATGGAAAACAACTACCTCTCAAATACCGATGAGTCTACAGCCAAACCATCCTAAAAAACCAACGAATCAATAAAGCAGTACTAACAGCAAAATTTGTATCAGTGCTACATCAAAAAGCAGACACTCTGGGAGGGGGACCACAAGTTTGAGTCCAGTCTGAGCAATGAAGTGACTTAGTAAGATCATGTCTCAAAATAAAAAAAATTTTAAAAGGGCGAGGAATAAAACTTATTTTCAAGGCCCTCAGTTTAATTCCCAGTACCACCACCACTATCCACTCCCCCCCCCCAAAAAAAAGAGGAAGAGGAAAGAGGAGAGAAAGGAAGGAAGAAGAACGCATCTTATTCTTGTACTTCAAGGAACTAGAAAGAATACACCAAACCCCAAATCAGAAGAAAAGAAATAATAATAAAGAATGGAAGTTTGGATTAAAAATCAATACAAAGGATCAACAAAAATGAGAAATTTTCCAGACAAGATGAATAAAGCTAGACTAAGAAAAAAGAGCTTCTCTTTATATAGTGAGATGACCCCTTTGTAAGGGGGTCATTAGAGAACAATTATATGCCAATAAATATTGGTACTCTAGAAGAAAGGATAAATTCTTGGGTAGTAACATCTTACCAAGATTGAATCATAAAGAAAAAAGGAAAACAATAAAGAAAAAAGAAACTACTACTGATTAATAATGAAGAATGAAATGGAATAATAAAATGTCTTCCATCAAAGAAAAGGCTAGGAACAGACATCTGTACTGCTAAATTCTACCAAATACTTCAAGAATAAACATCAATTCTCAAGTTTCAAAAACTTAAAGAAGAAATGCTTTCAGATATATTATCCATGATAACAAAGCCAGACAAGGATACAACAAAAAAGAAAGCTACGTGCCAATATATCTCATAAACGCAGATACAAAAATCTTCAAAACACTTCAAATTCAACAGCATATCCAAAAGATTATTCATCATGATCAAGCAGAATTCATCCTAGATACACAGATCAATAAATCAATAAATGTGATATACCACATCAACACAATGAACAAATATCGTAAGGTCATCTTAACAGATGTACAAGAAGCATTTGATAAAATTCAATATCCTCCAAGATAAAAACTGTGACCCACTAGTTATGGACAGAATGTCCTTTGACATAATAAAAGCCTTATATAACAAGCCCATGACATTTATCACATTGAATAGGAAAAAGCTGAAAACTTTTTGAGATCTAAAACAAGTCAAGGACTATCATTTTCACTGCTGTTATTCAACATAGTACTATGAATGCTAGCAAGAGCAATCAGATAGAAATAATACCTGGATTGAACTGGAAGACATTATTCTAAGTGAAAGAAGTATGGCAAAAAAAGAATATATTGAAAAAAAAAAGAATATATTGCATGATTTCAGCCATATGTAGAATTTAAGAAGGAAATCTCACAGAAGTTGGCTGAAGAGTGGGGAAGGGAACTATGGGGCAAAGTTGGTCAACAGGTACAACATTACAGTTAGGTTAAGAGAAATAATTTCAGGTGTTCTGCAATCTCCAGGGTGACTAGAGATAATAATACACAATATACATGATATATAAATATATACATTTACTTTGTTTTCTTGTTTTTGAAACAGGGTTTTATTGTTTAGTTCAGGATGCCCTCAAACTTGTGGTGATTCTCTTGCCTCAGCCTCCCCAGTGCTGAAATTACAGACATGTGCCATCAAACCTGGCTATAATACTGTGTATTTCAGAAAGGCTAGCAGAATGGATTTTGAATGTTTTCACGAAGAAATAAAAAATATTTGGAGAAACACCTAAGCTTACTATGATTTGAACATTATTCAGTATATATATATCTCAAAACATCACATCCCATATATGTGCTTTATGTGTCAATTAAAAAATACATTTCAAAATAATGTTCCTAACTAGAAAATAGATTTATATCTTTGTATAAACAAGGAAAAACTTAAAATACACAATTACATATAAATTAAATAAATTTATAATCACTCTTACCTAATGACATCTTTGTTTTATTTTGTTGGTACTGGGACTAGAACTCATGACCTTGTACTTGCCAGGCAGGCACTTGTGCCACTGAGCTTAATCTCAGGTCATAATAAGTTGATCTTGTATTACTATTTTCTCTTTTTTTAAAAAATGCTACCACAGTTTGGATGTTGATTTTTTAAATTGAATTCATTAGTTTTATTTATTTATATTGTTTTGGTACCTGGGGATCAAACTCACCTATGACTTTTTTGAAAGGCTTGTTTGATTTCTTGTAAAAGAGTTAACACACAATTACATACACATTAAATAAATTTACAATCATTCTTACCCTATGACATCTTTCAAAGGCTTGTTTGGTTTCTTGTAAAAGATTAACCACCACTTCTTGGGACAGGAAAGTTTCCCCATGAGTATCAATACTTGGCCCCAGCGGTAAGTTTGTACGCTGTCTAATTCTCTCTTTCAAATCTTGAATACTATTATAACATATAAAAAAATTTTAAAAATCAATTTTATAAACAATTTCAACTTCAAGTACTCTGAAGTTTAATATATACTATCAACAACAAAAACCAACCAATAATCAAGAGATCTAAATTCTAATTCTAATAGTTAATTAGTTGTATAAAGATGCTCTTCAAGAAAACGCAGAGATGGAATTATGATCTCTAAAACCCCTTTCAGTTTTACTTTTCTAATGCAACCAAAATTCATTTGTTTTCTTCAGAAAGTAAGCTATTCTAAGTAACATTACAAATGAGTTTTAAAATAAAACAAAGTTTCAATGATTTTTAACTATACTTCACCATTTAAATATAATGCACATTTCTTCACTATACTAAGCCAGACCCAGTAATATAATTTAGTTTTTCTTTGTAATGGAGGGTCATCTGGAACATTTATTAGATGGTATATCTTTTAGAGTATGTAGTTTCAGTATTATAAACTCTATGCTTTTAGAGTATGTAGTTTCAGTATTGTAAACTCATCTTTTAAAAAGTCCTATGATTGTCCTTTAATTTTTCTTATCTTCTTCTTGCTAATGCCTTTCAGATCTTACCTCTCAATCCTAATTTAACCTTTCTCTCTTTGATCATATTTAATAAACAAATCAAGAATCAACAAGTGATGTGTGGTGTGCACTCTGGACTTTTGATTGTATGGCACCACAGAAGTCGTTCTGTCTCCACATAGAGCAGTGGTGGTGAGCCTAGGGCACACATGCCACAGTGGGCTATTTATATCACTGAAAGCTCTAAAAGCTTCACGATTACTGACAGAATCATCTATGGGATTGATGCAGACAACTTACAGCATATTTAATGTAACATTTCCATGACTGAGTGATCAAAAACAAAAAATCAACTCAGAGCCTTTTAAATTGTAAACTATTTGCTATTTTTAAAAAAATTAACAATAACAATTAAAAATGTGACTCTTGGCCAATAACTTAGAATAATTTATTCTCTCTAGGAAAAAAAAACCTATATACTATAACTCTTAAATTTACCGATTTTATGTTTTACATTCAAATTTCTGCTTTACATTTTAATCATGGCATGTTAGGACATTTCAACATGTGGTTCAAGAAGATTTGATTACTATAAACAGCATGGGTTAAAAGAGTTCTTTCACTCATGGTATGTTAGCCCAAATACAATGCTCCTAATGCCTTTAGTTTTAATTACAATATTTAATAAACGAACTTACCCTCCTGTGCCAATGGATCTCTTTTGATGATTTTTTGAATCATAATAGCGTTGCAGGATCATAGCACTTCTGCTTTTCAAATAACCAGTCTCCACCTCAATATAGTTCTCCAAATAGGAAATGAAAATGGATTTGATAAGCTTAGACAAAAAAGTCTGTTTATCAGTACCTAAATTAAATTCCATCAACTTGCTGGAAAGACTGGTGGTTCTTTTCATGGAAAGGGGGAAGAAAAAGATTAATGTATATTTTAGGTAAAGTACTAATGTTAAGGAATATATAGTCTTATAATATGATTTTAATGACTTTTATTAAACCACCATTTTTTAAAAGCTGGAATAGTATTTGGGATGCAGAAAGCATCTCTACCAGGGTGTATACATGGAATATTACAAATAATATCATTTTTAGGACAGTCATAAACTGCTAGAGATGACCTAGGAAAATGGAAGCAATGAAACAGTGTAGAAACAGTGACAGTGGTAGAATGAACTCAAGTATGTGCTAACACTGTTCATCACAAAGTAAGAAAAACACGACTCGCAGGCCTACTCTCTGTTCACCTTTTGTCTTTGCCCGTGAGGACTTTTCTCTGATTTTTTATTCTCCATTGTTGAAAATAGGATCACTGCAATATTATTGTTCAGCTAAACTTCCTCAATGTAATTTTTAAAACTTCTCCCAGAAGAGACGAAATAATAGCAACCGACTTGGAAAAAGTCAAGGAAAAACTCCGTATGAAGTTTCTGAGCATCTCTCTGCAAGCATAAGAATGCCATTTGCAAAAAGCACAAGACTAGCTGGAGAGTTAGCTCAGTGGCATAAGCGCCTGCCTGGCAAATGCATGGTTGTGAGTTCGATCCCTGGTGCCAAAAAAAAAAAAAAAAAAAAAAAAAAAAAGCACAAGACAAACTCACATACAGGATTTAAGACTGAAATTGCCATTTATTATGAGTCTGTTATTCCCTTTGGAATTCCAAAACTTTTAACTGCAGATAAGTGTAATTATACTAGCTTTTAAGTAAAAATAAAGAATAGTATATTAGCTCCCAATTAAAATCAGAAACAAAATCCATGAATCTTCATTTTAACAATATCTTACATTTCTCAGTACATTAGGATAAAGCATAATATCCAATTTCTCAATTTAATGTGCTAGGAATGCTGCTTTTTTGTACAACTCTAGTCTATACATTCAAGCATTTCATGCTAAAAGGTATACTGCTATCTGACAAATTGTTAATCAAAAAACATCTACTTCTTCATTTCTAGACTGAACCAATCTCAAAACAGCAACAGTGATAGAATGAATTCAATTTATGTGCTAACGAAAAATCTGAGATCAATTATTTTCAAATAATTAAAAATATACCTTGTATATAGATCATAAAGATTTTTGAGATACGGTTCTGCATCTGATTTCCTACATTCTTCCAACTGATCTTTCACAAAACTCTAAAAAAGAAAGTCAACACTTCATTAAGTAAGTACTCATTTGTATAATTTCTCAATATATTTTTCTTCTAAAATGCTATGTAGTTTTGAACTACTGTAACTTAAAATTCAATCAAAAAGACAATCCACAGAAAACAGAAAACAATCATTGAAGTTAAGAAATCAATTTTAAAATTGTACTTTTTCTCAAACCTACATAAGATCTGTCAGTCTTGGGCATAAATATTTAGGATTTGAAATAAATACCTTTTCTTTGGAAGCATCCTTAGAATCAGTTCTTTAAAACAGCATTATCTAAAAAATGGTTAGGTAACACTAGTGTCCTGTGAGACTCTAACAGACATTGCTCTAAATTAGGGTTCCCTGGTCAGTAAAGGTGAGAAATGCTGTTATACTCCCAATTACAGAGACTCATAACATATTGGCACACTTTAAAAACTATCAAAAGTCCTAAATTCTATTTAAAACACTTAGTGATGCTCAACTATAATTTAGAAAATGTCTAGAAGTACATGTCTAAGAAGTTTAGGAGTCAAGGTTATAAATTTAATTCCTATCTTTTACTTTTTCATGCTAGTATGTCATAAAAAACTCTACAAGACTCCATTTGTAATTTTTGTTGTTTCAAGAATATCTTTTTTATTCAGGACAAGAACTTAGAAGAAAAAAATTCTGAAGCTACCTAATCACAATATTGCATTACTACTACTACTGCTATAACAAATTTTTTAAGCATATGTTCTGAATAATCTTTTTTTTTGGTACCGGGAATCAAATTCACGACTGCGCGTTTGTAAGGCAGACACTTATGCCTCTGAGCTAAATCCACAGCCCAACCATTTTTTTAAAAGCCTGAAAATTGATGTTTTTTTCTCCTTAATCAGATTATCAAATTTTTTAAACTTTAAAACATTAAGAAGGGGGCTGGGGATTTAGCGCCTGCCTTGCAAGTGTGTGGTCATGAGTTCGATCCCCGGTATTGATAAAAAAGAAAAAGACAAAAAATTAAAAAGAAATCCACATTACCTTAGAAACTATTTAACTTGTCACTGTTAAAATTACCTGTAGTTTAGGGGCTGGGGATTTAGCTCAGCGGCATAAGCGCCTGCCTTGCAAGCAGGCAGTCATGAGTTCGATCCCTGGTACCGATAAAAAGGAAAAAGACAAAAAAAAAAAAAAAAAAAAAAAAAATTACCTGTAGTTTGATTTCAAATACATTTTGAATCAGTTTAGCCAGCACAGTTTCTGGATTACTAAAGATATCTCCAACTTGCTTATTCACACGTAGACAGAGTATTGCTGCATCTTCAAATATATCATTTCTCAAGTAAGCACCCTAAACATCAGAGGCATTTTACATAGTGAATATACAATTTTTAAATGTGGTTTAAAATGCTATGTAGCATAAAAACTCAATAAAATATACAGGTATGTTACCTCCTGGCACTGCTTTATATAAACATCAACACAATGAGAATAACCCTAAAAAGAACAAACACACTGTTAACTATGGTTTTCAGTTCAATTAAAATATAATCACAATAAAACTGTTACATGCAATGAGGCTGTTATCTTATCCCAGTTAATGACCAATAGTTACTGGAATGAAATATAGTTGTACAGATTCAGTTAACATAAGTGTCTTCTCTCATTTTCAATGACAAAATTGATCAGTTGGTGTATACACTTGTTAGAATTTAGATGAAAGAATGCTGAAGTATACCAGTTCTTTGTAGTCATGCCTGCCTTAAAATCATCTAACGATATGTTTCAACTCCAAAACACACGTGTACAGACAGGCAAACACACACACACATACAGTTTCATCTTGAAGGTTATATATATTCTTTCTTATTTTTTCTCTTGGATTCGAAGCATTAAGGATTAGGGCAGAGCTCTGTTTAACAGGCAATATGGGGATTTATTTTAAACTGAATTCATTTCAATAAAATGGTTTAAGACAAAGTAACTTGTCATGTTAAGCTCAATATAATGACACCACTATCTCAAATGCCATTAGTATTCATTTAGATGTTACCAAAATGAAAAGTCCAGTAAATAACTTTCATTTCTTAATCTGATGATTAAATATGATGACCTAAAGGAAGAATTCTTTTTTTGTCATTTATTTAGATTTCTTTTGTTTTGTTTTTGAGACAGGGTCTCACTATGTAGCCCAGGTTGGGTGAACTTTAAATCCTTCTGCCTCAGCTTCTGAATATAGGATTGTATACACATGCACCACCACACCCAGCTCAAGTACTATTTTTTAGAATTTTTCAAAAAGATATGTCTTGTATTTCTTCGCATTAACCACCTGAGACACTCTGGATTTTTTTTTAATAATCACAATCATATATTCTTTGATGCCTACATTTCACCAGATATTTATGGTCAATTTTCTTGCTTTCTGACATATTTCATAAAAAAGCAAGAAGGCAGATGATAATTTTAACAAACTACATGAAAATTCCTTAATATTAATACACCTGAACATAAAATCTTTACTAAAATATTATATACCTAAGATTTAACATCATTTACAGAGATACATAAAATATATGTACATTCAAAATCATTTAAAATAAAGAAAATTATTGCTGATACAGTTATACAATTAAGAGGTAAAAATCAGAGACCATGACATAAAACTTACAGAATTTCCACTACCCTGAACACTGGTCTTTAAATTTTTACTATTTACCTTAAAGTGAAGTAGTACTGCTGCTACTTCCCTCATTCTGGAGATTTCACCTCTTCTCTGAGCACTAGTAAACTCCTGAATCAGCTGGCATTCTAAATCATGATATTTACCTAAAAATAAAAAAGAGCCATCTACCTATATCAAGACATTTAAAGTATCTAAGTTGCTAACAAATATCTAAATTATTTACAAGTATAATAATTATGAGTATGCCTTTTATTGGAATAACCACAAAGAGAGATTATAGACAATGGATCTAACTCCCATACTACAGAGTTATATGTAATCTATATTTCAAGGCACAAAAACTTTCAAATTGATAGATCAGCAGGGCTCCCTAATGTCTAAGCACCATTTACTGCTATTACTTAAACTAGCATTTGACTATATACTAAAAATAAAATAAAATAAAATAAAAGGAAAGGAAAAACTTCTAGAAGCCAGTCCATTATAGTAACAGTAAAAAAATATTAAATATAATCCTGTAAAAGGGTAAGGACTATGAAATTCTTTATTAGAGTTTAGGTGTTTCTACCATGAACAACAGTGGATAACATACCAAATTTCATCTTAAGATAATATGTGGTACTTGACATAGCATTCTTAAGGGTATTACGATTCCTAATGAACATTTAAACTTCAGATTAATCTAGGGTGATCAAAAATACTACCAGTAAGTCCAGTTATCTATGTAATCTTATTCTAAGAGTTCTGGAAGTACAATGGTTCTTTGAACTTTCTCTAAAATAGTCTAGCAAACAATGACCCAGGATACTACGGATGGACTATACAAATACAAAGCTTTCTCCAGAAACTTAGAATGATCTAGCTTCCAATACAAACCAAATTAATCACTTAAGGAGTAAAATAGGCATTAAAATGCTCAGACTGTCTTAGTTTTTTTGTGGTTTGTTTTGTTTTGTTTTTTTGGTACCGGGGATGAAACTCAAGACCTCGCGCTTGCCAGGCAGGTACTTACACCACTAAGCTAAATCCCTGGCCCTGTCTTGGTTTTAAAAAATAAAAAAGACAAAAAGAAATACTTGCAGATATTAAACAATACTTGCATATATTAAACAATCTCAAAAATACATTATTAAGTTAAAAAAACAAAGTCTAAAGCTTTTTGCTACCAATTATTTTATCACAAATGAAGACATATACACATAGATAAATGCATATACCTGTGTATGTATTTTATGTTAGTATACCCACAAGATATTCTCTAAGAGTACTCTACAAACTGGTAATGCTTATTTTCAGGGAAAATAAACTCCATGACAGTATGAGAGGATCGCACTGTTCTCACCTTCCCTATTTCTGTTATTCATGTTTTGCTTTTCTTTTTTTTTTAACATTAGTAATTGTTTTTACTTGCTCAAAAGAAGTCAAATAAGTTGACTCCACTTACTTGCAATCTTGGATTTTACTTCTGAAAATCTGGAAAATACAAATGAATGATGAGGTTCATTAGTTGTGACAAACATACTATGGTACAATATCACCAAAAAGAAACCTGGGGACAAAGGTATACTAGAACTCTCTATATTATCTTTGCAGCTTTTTTATAAATTAAAACTACTATAAAATGAAAAGATTATCCTCAAAAAAGATGAAGCCAGAGAAAAGAGTACAGACATGAAGCATGACGGGCAATGAAATTTTATTTAGGCAATTTAGGTGAGATAGATGGTTCTCATTTAGAAAAATCAATTCCCTTGTTTAAGAAGGAAGAGTATGAGGCATTAGCAACCAGTCCTGAAACTGAGTTACTGTGCCTACTCATATTTACTTCCATGTTAAATTCACTTGATTATTATGATTAATAATCATAATAGTCTGCCCCACACTGGGATTTTTGAAAATAAAATTTGACAAAGCTTTTGTAAATGGAAAGGAGAGGAGAAATTGAAAGGAAGGCGGGGAAATAGGGGAAAAAAAAGATAGTTATATCACATACAAATTCTCTATGATGAATGCGATCATTATGTATATCTAAAGTGTACCAATTCTAGACCGGGGGTTTAGCTCAGTGGCACAGTGCCTGCGTGGGAAGCGTGAGTTTCATGAGTTTGATCCCTGGTACCAAAAATAAAACAAAATATGCCAATAAAACTGGATTGGAAAAATAAAGAAGAAAAAAAAATAAAGCTTGAAATTATTTAAAAGAAAAACAACAGCTGGGCCTGGTGGTATATACTTGTAAACCCAATACTCTAGGAAACGGAGGCAGGAGGATTCTAAGTATGAACCCAGCTAGGGCAAGATCCTTTATCAAAATATAAAATAAAAATGGGCTGGATATGTAGCCAAGTGCAAAGGCCATATGTTCAAATCCCAGTAGTGCCACCAAAAAAATTTACTTTTTTAAAAAAGAAAAATGAAAAAGCCATTAAAAGACTCCAACAATGTACTTAAGAGGACAATCATCCATCTTCAGCAATTTAAAAACTAAAATACCACATAATAGATTCATCAAATCCTAAATATAAAGTAGTAGCATACAACATGGAAAACTGATGTTGAAAGATCCCGTGCAATCATTTGAAGAAAAAGAATAGAGCAAAAGAGATGCCAAAAACAGATAAAGAAGAAAATAAAAAATTAGAAAGTCATAAAAAATGGTATGTCAAAGTCATGATAAGTCACAGCATATATGTAAGGTCAGCCTGATCTGGGTAAAAATTTTAAATTTGATTAAGGTATATAGTCAACTCAAAAGCTTGCTAACGAGGCTGAAATAAAACTGTAAGAGCTTAGTGTAGCTCAGGCAACAGGCCTGCCAAGCATGAGGCCAAGGGTTCAATTCCCAGCATTATAAAAATAAAAAACAAAAAAACAAAGCATAAAACTTTTTAAGTAGGAACTTGAGGGATGAAGAAGATAAGCATATGCATACATATTCTGGACAGAAATAATAGAATGGAAGGGATGGAGCTGTAACTAACTTTATCATGCACCTATACTGAGGCTAGACATGTTATCTACTTATATGATTCAACTCTGAAACAAGCTAGTTTGGTGGGTAACTTTAAAAATTTTATTGTTATCTTTTAGGATAATACAGAGAGTAAAGCATAACTTGGGGAGGGATATATTATACATTTTGATCATGCTGTAAGTATAGTAATATATCCATGGTCTATCTGTATCTGAAGGCCTTTGAGTATGAACAAAAGAGCAGCAGATATATTATTTGATACAGAAAGTCATATTTGTTTCTGATAGTCACACAGAAAAACAACTTTCACTACTATTTTATTACAGTCTGACATTTTGCATACTAGAGAAAACCATGAAATGATTTTTTTTCTCAGTGGATAGGATGAGCGCTAACTTAATAATAGCCCTGAATCTATTTACTACAGGGAGTTCTTGACCTAAAGCCCCTGGGGTTTTATAGATAGGGTAAAGGCTAAAACTCCACGAAATAATATATAAAAATCTGTGTATATTAATTTCTTTAAGAATCTTTGCAACTTTCATTACTAGCCTATTATAGGTACCTTAAAACTCTCAGATCATTAGAACCTCTAACTAAAAATACATAAAAACAGCTCTGTAGCCATTATGCTTAAACTGTTTCTTGCCACTCTGCTTCTCAAAATCCAAAACAGAAAAATTCAGTATTTTACTTCTGTCAATTTGGAAAAATCTCATCAAAAAATTTTTCAGAAGACAAACAAGGATTAAAATTTCAGGATGCACTGTTATGTTTACATATTAATAATAGGCTATTTTTTTAATAAACTACACTATAATGTATCTTATACAAAAAAAGCACTCAAATTTTAGTTGACTTAATGGGCAAAGAAAAATAAAGAGAAAATGTGCAATTTTATTCTATAAATATTCCCAAATTAACTCGTGAAAAATAAACTTGCCTATCAAAAGGTAATTCCTGGGCAATTAGGTGCAACTTCTGAATGATGTCTGCTGCCTCCTTTATCTATTAAAAAATAGATAAAAGCAATAATTAAAAAACTCTTACACATGCACATTTGAAAATACATACAGCCTCTCCCACAAACAATTTTCTTTAAAAACCTGGAATAAAACCTTGTGAGCGAGAAAAATATTTGGGCATTACTATTGTGAGTCAAAACCCAAATATTTGTCTTTCTAGTATGAAAGCTTTTATGATTTTTTTGATGCTACAATTCCATCCCAAAGAAATCTGGAATTCAAGTTTACTCTGGAGAAATTAAAATTATTCGCTGAAAGCAAGTAAAAATTCCTTCTGAGTTCATGAACGACAAAAGGATAAGATTTATGAAGATGACTCAGAACACATTGTGGCATATAAGTGCTTTAAGCTAATGAGTAATGTAACAAAATGCCTGTCATTTAATAACCATGTAAATTTATAAAACCTGTTCTAAAGGCAAAGCTAAAATTTAACGTGAAATCTGAGTGAAATATAATATAGAAATGTGTATACTTTTTCAAGTTGCAGGAAAAAAGACTTAGGTAACAAGTCTAAAATTTTTTAAAAGAAGATATTTGTGTTTACCCAATAGAGTAAAGGAGTTATGTAATGTTCACTTTTTCTTTAAATTTCAATGTTGTACTAAACATTTAATGTGATGCAATTTTAATGGCTGCTTTTATAATGACTCACATCAAAAATAATAACTTACATCAAAAAAGAAAATTTTATAAACACAAAGAGCTGAGAGTGTACTTTAAATTATTTTAATTATTCATATGTGTGCTTGCAAGCACTTGTGGGTTACACAAGGACCTGTTGCTACTTCTAACTCGAAACAATAGCAAACATAGCATATTTTTACTTCAATTATCTCTTTCTTATTCAGTAGGCCACTATCACTCTCAGTTGCCAAGCAGTTCCTCTATCTGTATGTGAGCACACATATTTCATCACAGTATAATTCATAGACTATTTAGTTTTACAGACAAATTCCACCATTCTCTGTATCAACTCTGCCTTCACAAAGAACATATCTGGCAAACAGCTGGCTCTATGTTTTCATTAGTTCACTCTTTTAAGAGATAGAAATTTGCTATTTGCCAACTTTGCTTAATGTAGTAAGTAATATAGCAGTAAATAATGCTTTATTGAATTCTCAAAGCTAATTATTTTGTAAAAAGTTTTTAAACTACAAAGTTACATTAAATATATCACAACAATAAATACAAAAAGTGCCCAAATCACAATCTAACAATGTTTATATCTGTTCTTAGGCTGAGTTGTGAAACCACCTAAATAGTTTCAAAAGATACACAGTCAACAAGCATTACCTCTAAGAACAAGCTACCATTCTAAACAGAAAACAGCAACACACAGGCAAGAACAGAAATAAATGTAAAAAAAGTTTTCTTCAAGAAAAAACATTCTGAGAATTAATGATTAAAAAAAAAAAAAAAAAAAAAAAACTAGGGGCAAGGAAGAAAAGGAGTATGATGTGCTTGTACCTTATCTAATGTTAACTCATCCCACAGCCATATATCTCCCTTAACTACACAAATGATTCTTCTTTTCTTTCCACTGGGGTGGCAGCCAGCCCAGAATTCAGAAAATGAGACAGCCAGAAGTTTATCTGGTAATTAGCAACTTAATACCATATTAAAAGTTCTTAATTACAATTAATTGTGATAGTACTAGGACAAAAATGATGATTCTTGATTAGCAATCCCTAATCCAAAACTTGTATAGAGAAAAGAGAAAACAAAGGAAACTGAGAAAGGAAGAATAAAGTATAAGAAAGTAAGGAAGAAAGGCAATAAGAGAAAAAGGGATTCAAAAATAGCATGACATAAAGAAGGAAAAGAGAAATTAAATATGTGGGTCTGTAGTTACCCCTCCAAAATTACAGACAGCAGAGTAACCAAGTGAATAAACCTGCAAAAATATACATTGTTTTCTTTTACTTAAAACCTACACATTAAAGAAATAGCAGTAACACAAAAAACTACATAATTACCTGATAATTAAAAAAGTTTAATCTATGAACATGTAAATAATATGAATCATACAGGAAATAAGTATTTTAGTCCATCTAAAAAATTATTTTTCTTTAAAATCTAAATCGCTACTCTAAGTTGGAATCAAATAAACAGGTTAAGTCACATTGGTAAGATAACTGCATTTACTTTATAATAGCATAAATACAGTATACAATCCAACAGATACAATCTGAAACAATCCAAGTATCAGGTTTTTTATAGGTAAGGTCTTCTTATGTTAAAATACTGTACCTCATAATATGATAAATGTATGTTTATATTTAGAAAACTTTTTAAAAATTCCATAAGCTATCCTTTAGCACAGTTCAGTGTTAAGCCCCTATATGTCTTACATATAAAGGCCACATAAATGTATGTTGAAAGCAAGTATTTTATAAATTCTTCTGTATCGCATTTTTCTCAATGTTAATTTTATCTGTTACTTTACACTGTAAATACAATTAAACTCAATTCTTGAAAATACTATCTTCTCTTTAAAGGAACTGTCTATACATATACACTATTTTTCAAAGCTCACTAGAAATTATAAATTCACTGACCCTAGAGATTAGCATTCACACACACACATACACAAATGCATTGCTTAATTCAAATTAAAATGAACTTCCCTAATATTTAGTTTTTATTGACATTCTATGGAGCAAATCTGGGATAATTTTGAAGACATCAGAGAACAAGTGGACAAATTTACAATAAGTATGAATATCTTTTTTTCATGCATTTTGATACACTTTCCCTTGGGAGAAGAAAAGCATCTAAATTATCAAGATGCAGAACAATCACTACCATGTAGCCTTAGACCACAGTTAAGTAAACAGTACTATGAAAGGGATTTGACATAAGCAATTCCTTGATTCAAATTGCTTAATTCTTTGTAAGAGATTTTTATTCAAGTAGTAAAAATCTAGAAGCACTGAATTCCTTTAGAGAAAGACATACTTCCACTTGTGAACAATTTAGGTCAAATCATTCTACTCACTACTCAATGTTTTATAATGACTAGAAATGCCATTAACTTAGAAGTCAATTATGACAAAGAAATACTTATCAATATAGTCAACCTCAGCATTTCTAAACCATATGTAACTTTATAAACAAAAATGCTAAGCAAACTAATTAATAATTTGATTATCAATATATCATCAGCAATCTATAAGCAGCTGTATTAAGTTATATTTTAAAATAACAATTTTTTATAAATTAACTACTCAGCTTTAAGTCTGCCTATAAAGTATTAACTGCAGCTCATAACTGTCATTGTTATTAATGTGGTAATTAGTTTTTAACCTCTGATGGTACTTACCTTTTCAGAATTTGTGAAAACTTCAGATTTCAATTCTCCATCTAGAAACTCATTAAAGTATTTCATCAATTTCTGAGCTTCCACTGCCCGTTGTCTAGGTGTGTTTACCCCTTCCAACTGGTCTCCAAGGTGACAAACTTTGGTAGCTACATAGCTAATGTGCTCATCTAATTCTTGGAAATGTTGAAAGGCAACCTAGAAAAAATGTGGACATGCATAAAATATAATTAAACAGGGAAGTTAACACACATCATAAATATATTAGCAAAATATAAGTCTATAGTTTTTGACTAGCATATGTAAGGTCCTATGTTTAATCTCCAGCACCACGAAAATCAAGCCAACTAAACCAAACTACCAATCTCATCAGTACTCTATTTTAATTAAAGATAGTTTAGAAATACATATGAGATCCACAAAAGTAATTCCAGCTTATTAAGATGATATGATCTGAAGATCTTTTAACCAAGTTGTAACCTTTTATACCTTTATTAAAACCACATTTATCATGAATATATGTTAATCAATATATAGTAAATGTTCTTATTATTCATTCTGTTTAACAAAAGTACCTGTTACACAATATTTGGTTGGCCAAGGTAGCATATGCGATAATCACACACTCGGGAGGCTGAGGCAGAAGGATTGGGAGTCAAGCTACACAATGAGTTTCAGAAACCACCCTGAACTATGCAGCAAAACACTATCAGAAAACTATATATATATATATATATATGTATATCACATTTATTTTAAATATTTAAAAATTACTAATATCATATATGGTAAAGTTGCTCTTTCTAGTTTTGAAAATCAGTAAGATTGCAGCAAGGATTCTAAGATAAAAGCATACTCCTTAGAATATTCTTCCCTTCTCCCTGGGTACACACAACTATCCTGTGGTTAGATAAGTATGGTGTTTCCGTTCTAACCTTCAACTGAAAAGAAAAAGCTACAAGCATTTATTGAAGAATTTCTCTGTGGTAGAAACTAGTACAAGTATATTACATGTATTACTTAATCCACAACCATTCAATTTACAGATGAAAATTTGAGATGAAGAGGTTCAACTACTTGAGTATATGCAGCTAATAAGTGGCAGAGCTGTATCTCAGACTCAGGCAGACTGCACCAGAGTATGTTCATGTGACTATAATACTATTTTTATTTGCAGAGGAAAGCTTCATTCAGAATATTTGAAAACTGTTACCTTAACTACTAAAAATACATTCCTTATGTGAAATTACTGATTTTCATAATGAAATTTTTTCTAACAGTCACATACATTTAAGGGAAGGAATCTAAATAAATTTTAGCAGAAATCAGTTTGCGGGGCCAACTCTATTCAGGACTCCTCCTAGAAATCCAAGAGCTCTTCTTATTTCCAGTAAAACTTTCCTAATTTCAAAGGGGGGGGGGGAATCAGTTTACTAACCATAGGCTGAAGAACAAATAGCCCCTAGGAGGCAGCAAAACTCAACAATGTTCTGTGAATGACACTTAGATGAGAGGGGGTGGCTAACCTTTTAGAGTTTTCAATAATACAAACATCCTGCCAAGAGAGTGCTGTAATTCACCACCAATGACTTAGAGTGATCACATTCCAGATTAGGTCAGCCTGCAAAAGTGTTTCCAGCAATTGCAAATTAATTCTAGGGTTTAAGAGTAACTACAAAGCTAGGGTCAGACTAGTGGTTTGGTTTTACTCCAAAATGGGCTGAGAAAGAGTTCTGTATCCACTCTCCTGACGTTATTCTTGAATTCTTACTGAGGCAAATACTTCACGACTTTTGTAAATTTCCAAGATCAGGTTTCTCCAAGGAAAAATTTGATCAAGGTCTGCTATTACTTTGTAGGATTAAAATAATGCAAATACCATCTGAACATCAAATCTAATAGAGCCTAAGAGCTCGTCTATTACAGACTATTCATAAAAGTTTACATTACTAGAAGAGAAACAAGGGCCATGCTAAACATGATACCATCTCATCTTGATAAGGCAGTTTTGTGATTGCCAAACCAATACTCAATAACAAGCCAATGCAAAGACAACAGGATAATAATTCATTTATTCCACGGGATCAAAAAAGTAGAGAAAAACCTCAATATTTACTGTAATTGGAACTGACTCTCTTAAAGAGCTTACAGCTGGAAAAAAGTAAAGAAAATGAATATAAACTATTCTCTGGTTAGGTAAATGTTTACCTGATTGCTTTTCTGAAGTTCTTGTACCTTCTTGGCAAATTCCTTGGCTTCCTTCTGACATTGTTGCTCTAATTTCTCTACTTTTCTTTGAATCCTTTCATCCATTAACTGGAGTTCTTGAATATGATTTATGAATTCTTCTAATAATCTTAATAGAAGAAAATTAGATTATATAGCAATCTAAAAGGTACTAACCAATTCACCAATAAGGAAGGCCTTAATAACAGTTCTTTGTGGTAGGGAAGAGCGTATAAATTTTCTCTACAGTATTTTGTTACAAATTTCCCAAGTCTTTCTGTAATGTCACAACTTATTCTTCACTTTGCCCAAGTCACACAGCTTTCAAAAAAGCCATTAAATGGATTTTTGGCCAGTATTTCTTGACTTCTCAATGGATCATTTCTGAGGTAAATGAAAAACTCACCCAGAATGCCCATTAAGCCGCCAGAACAGAAATGCATTTTATAGCTTTTTGAACAAGCAAGAAGATACATGTGCAATATAAAAAGAATATTGTGCATGTTAGTGATCACTGCTTATTCCTCCAATTTCTGGCTATTATATTTAGAAGTACACATTTAACATGTTTTTATTTCAAAAGTATAACTAACCCTTTCAAATTTGATTGGAGAAAATACTAAATTTCTATTCTCAATAAAATGCATACCAACTAAAGTGCTTCTCTAAAATAAATGGAATAGAAGAGAAAAAAAAATTTGGGTGCCCCAAACTTTGGGTGCCCCGCTCACCTTAGTTATATATATATATATATTTTTAACCAACTGTTAGTTAAAATCCCCTTACATGAATTTGGAAAGGAATCCCAATACTAGTGAGAGCTACAAAAACACAAATTTTTAGTATAATAGCTGGGGGTTTGAAAAACAACACATTTTTATTTTACCTTTTAGGATCAAAACCTTCAGGTCCACCTCTAGAACCTCCTCCTGGGGTTCTCCAAACAAGACGTTCAATATACTCATCTGCCACAAAAGGTTCCTAGTTTACAAAAACAAATGTGCCTTAACAAAGTTCCACAGAAGAAAACAATACAAATTACAAATATAAAACAGATTCTATTATGTTAATACTAAAAATGGAATTAAGTTACTAATTATTTGAATGTCTGGATTATTAAAATGTATAAGGTTTCTATCAGATTATAAACCCCATAAAATGCTTAATGAAAAACAGGAATTAAAATATCAGAACAGTATTTATGACTTGTTAGAAAAACCCAACAGAATAAAAGCAAAAGACACAAACATGCAATTGATGAATACAAATGTCCCCCTGTAGAAATGTACAGCCTTGCTAGCTTTAATAAGTTCAATTATCACTTTTTTTAACCTCATAAACTGAGAAGTGTTTTTTAAATTATGCAATGCAGGAAAAGCTAAACTGAAATGTGCACTATCATTATTGTTAGAAATGTCAACAGGTAAAACCTTTTTGGAGGACAACTGGTCAGTATTCTGTAACATCAACCTTATTACAAATGCTTAGACTCTTTAACCCAGTAATTCTACTTTTTGCATTCTAAAGGAAAAGCACATATGAACACCAAAACTTTTGTACAGTTGCTATGGTTTACATCTAAAATATTTCCCAGAAGTCTTATATATTTGGGGGTGACTGGATCAGTGAGGCCCATACAGTACTTATCAGTGGGTTCACTGATGACTTCAGTAGCTGCATGTGCTGCCATGAGGTAGACTCAGGTAGGAGGTGGTCAATGGGAAGCATGACGTGGAAGGGTATCCTCTTATTCCAGCTCCTTCATGCTCTTTCTTCTCTGCCTGCCATAGGACTAGTAGGTATTTGCTGGGCTCTGCCACCACACCTTTTGGGCCTCGGAGCCTACTGAATTTGGACTGACCTCACTGGAAACTGTGAGCTACATAAACCTCTCTAGATTTCAGGTGTCAGGTCCTGTACTTTGTCCCAGTGACAAGAAAGGAACTAATCAAAAGTGTTCATTGTACATTATACGTAATACTGTACCATTATTTACTTATTCAACAAAACCATGATGAACAAATTATGGCAGACTATTACAGGATGAAAACTATATTCCTATTAGGAATTACAGGATGAAATTATGGCAACTATTACAGGTTGAAAACTATATTCCTATTAAAGTCATGTAAAATGACTTTAATGAAATGAGAAAAAAATGCTGACATACAATACCGCAATAAGGCAGGATATTAAATTGTCTCAGAAAAACATAGTAATTCTTTAAAAAGGATTTTCGAGTAGAAGGCCCAATCAAAAACAATAAAAAGCTGAATGTTTACTATTCATTGACAGCAAATATTTTGGGCTATTCCACACTAGTGCATACACTATCCATACCACCTCTTTCAGGCAAGCACCACAAAGTTCTTTGCTGCCAACATAGTATGTAAAAGACGGGAGCATTTCCTAGTGATTCCAATTTGAATTTTTGTATGTATAAAATTTTCCCATTTGTTAATTATACTTTAAAAATAATTTTTCATTGGTAAGCATGCACTGAACCAAAAATTTTCCAGTGCCAAATGTGTTAGGCTTTGGAATAAAAAGATGTATAAAACAGACTACACCCTCAAGAAACTCACAGACCAATAGGAAAAAGAAATACAAAGAATGTGATAATTACATAAAATTTAAAATGTGTGCAAAGTTCATTATCAACACTGAGCAACTGTTTATTAACAGGGCAGTTAAGGGTATCGAAATGAATTATTCATTAATTCAAATGTTGAATTAATGTTTACTGAGCACCTACTATATTCTGGACACCATAATGAGCGCTAACAATACAAAAGTACACTCAACAAGGTTACCTGCAAGGCCTCATGGAAATGGTCTTCCAAATAGGGTTATTAAATAAACAAGTATCACAGAAATAACTAATTAAAATGGTCATAAGTGTGATGGTAACAAAAGTTCTGGATGCTGTTAACAGAATGTAACAGAGAAAGAGGTGACTGGCACATGAGGAAGGATGGAAGACTGGCCAAGAAGGGTGGCATGACATGCAAAGTTTCTAAAGAAGTGATGTTTAAGCTGAGGTCTGAAGAAGAAAAATCAGTCAGACAAAAATGAAAGGATGCTTTCCTGACTGCTAAAGAACAGGAAGCCAGAGCTTAACCTGTTAGAGAAACTGAAAGATACAGAACTACATATGGAAATACAGAATCCAGAAAGGGACAGTGATTATGATTACAGATGATAATGCTGACCTCCTTATCATCATCACATCACAAACTGAAATAGCTCACCTGTCTGATGTGGTAAGGGTGGTAAGGAGAGGAGAAATATTAGAATAAGAATCATCAGATGGGAAAACCACGAGAAAAATAATGTTGATAACTAATTCACATGCATTTCCTCATTTGCTAGTTTCAGTAAGACAGAAGTTTCTACTTTATCCCCCACTTTATGATGTCACATATTTCCTAAGAAAACATAGATTATTGTAAACCTAAGATTTAAAACACTTTGTTCTACTACTGCTAAGTCACTCCACTACAAGTAGCTCTTTATGCTTAAAATTAGGTAAGGATAAATAATAAAGCTAAAAAAGTAAAACTGTCACATGAGGGCATATCATTGATTTACCCTGTTAAATTTTCTACCTATGTTAACAAATAGTAATTTATGGGAAATCAATCACACAAACCAGTACAGTAATTTTACCAGACAACTGATAAACAAGTTTAAACCACTTTATTAAAACCATATTGCCCTTATGATTATTAATATCACTCATCACTAGATGTGCAAGCATCAACCAGAAAAGACCATAAAACAACATATAAATAGGCATTAAAAACATTTTAAAGGCTTCTACATTTTACCACAAAAGACTTTCACAGCGGTCAAATAATAGTAGTACTACCTGGGGATTTAGTTCAGCGGCATAAGCGCCTGCCTTCCAAGTGTGCGGTATGAGTTTGATCTCTGGTACCAAAAAAAAAAAAAGTAGTCCTACTAATCTAATTTATTTCCTAAGACTTCCTTTATAAGACAGCTATCTGGTACAATCAAGGAGTAACATATTAACAAGATTGCAAGCTATTTTTAAAATAAAATTCTATTTATCTATAAGCACACACATGATAGAAAATTAAGTCCAAAGGATGAATTAGATATTCACCCAAAGTGAAAAATTTGACACCTAAAGTACAATGAACTCACTTATGTGGGGAGCCGCCTGACCGGTCCCCTAAGATGGCGCCCATTTCCTGCTTCCGGGTTCTTCCCGGCCTGAACAAGCCCGCCAAATTGCCACGTCTGCCCAGCTACCGATGACGCTAGCCTATTAGCTTGCTGGGCTTGCTTTGCTATGATTGGATGCTGTTTTCCCTTATAAGAGACTGTCCCTGCCCCTAACGGGCAGAAGAGGAACCAACGTTGAGGGTGGCGGACCTTGTTAGGTCCGGTTCGCTGTATGCAATAAACTTTGAGAGCTGATCCTGCTCGAGTCTGGCCTCCTGTCTCCCGCGGCTCCGGTCATCTGGTGGCCCGTACGGGGAAAAAAGGCTCAGCGACGTGCCTCTTCGGCCGGCCGGGAGGTGCGATTGCTGTCGCCTGCGGTACGACGGAGAACCTGGCCCAATAACAACGGAAGGCCCTGAGCGCCTCTTCTCTTCACCCTGATCAGCTACGTGAGATACAGCGGTTCCCGGGACAGGTGAGTACTGGATCACCTGGGTTGGGTGGACGCACCTAACAGATTTTGAGTGCCACACGAGTGGACGCCGGTTTTTTAATTTTTTTTTTCTTTTTTCCCTTTGCATCTGTTTTGCTTTCGCTTCGCTAATATGGGCAACGCTGCTTGCAAGCCCCTTGCCGATTCCCTAAGGGTCTTACTGCGGACCCGAGGCATCTACATGAACCGGGTCACCTTCTCGAGGTTCCTGGACCATATCAATGATATTGCCCCCTGGTTTTGGCCCACGGGCTCACTAACTCTCCCATCGTGGGAAAAGCTGGGAGGAGACCTTAGATGTGCCCAGGAGAGGGGTCTCTTAGACCCTATGGTTCTACCCCTATGGGAGATGATTAGAGCTTGCCTAACGGATGAGCAGATCCCCGGACTTCATACAGCCCGACAGGCTTTTGATAAAGCTCGATCGGAATGCTCAGAGGAGCCCGGAGCCACTGCCGATTGTGGGTCTCCGGAGGACCCTCAGGGCTCTAATTCTGATTCTGATTCGGAAGGTTCAGAAGAGGAGGTTGTCTTCGCTAAACAGGACCCTCCTGCACAGCTTAAAGAGGAATTCAGGGCTCGGGAAGATAAAAAGGGGAAGCAAACACCACCCTGCTCGAGCTACTCCGCCTTACGGGAGGAGCTTAAGCCCTTCCGCCCTTTGGCAAGTTCGCGACCCACGATCACCCCCTTCAGGGCGCCAGGCCCCACTGCACCGCTGTGGCCAGAAAAAGAGTTGCTCCCTGGGCTGCCACCTCCACCCGTGGCCGCCAGAGGGCGCCCACAACCTATGGCACCGCCCTGGTTAGAGGGAGAGCCACTTCCTGGGTTGCCTTCTGCGCCCCCATCTGGGGAGGGAGGACGTTCCTTCCACCAGAGGGTATGGTCGCGGCTTCCCTTTGAGTGTTCCGGTCTCCATGCATTCCCGGTACAAGTAGGAGGCAGGGGAGGAGGAGGATATTATGAGCCCTTAGAAATTAAACAACTTAAAGCTATCAAGGACGCAGTTTCAGCTTATGGGCCCAATGCGCCATTTACCATGGCGCTTTTAGAGGCATTGGCAGGTCTGCTTTTAACTCCTGGAGATTGGACCCAGCTGGCACGCGCCTGCCTCTCCCCCGGACAATATTTAGATTGGAAGTCCTGGAATGAGGAATTCTGTGTAGAGCAGGCGGCAGCCAACAGGGAAAATAACCAGAGAGAGTGGAACAGGGATATGCTATTAGGGTGAGGAGCCTTTGAGGAAGATCAAACTCAATACCCTCGCCAGGTTTATGAACAAATTAGCCGCTGTGGC